TCCTCCATTTATTCGTCCCTATCCGAGAAGAATAGGATATCTAAACCATTTCTTGATGTTATAGAAAGGCAGCATATTCTTCTCAATTATTTTAAGACCTTGAGTGTTGGTCCGGCCGGGGCTCAAACCCTCGACCTCCCGCACATCAGTCCAGCACTCTATCCATTGAGCTAACCGAGACCTTAATGTTTCATTCAGAGGTGATATTAAAAGCAGAAATTAGATGCTAGTCACCCACAGGGATCAAACAGTTAAATAGGTTGGCATGACACAGAATATGAATCTGTTCACTATACACACTAACAAACTCACAGTATATACATTAAACTTTCCCTGTAATGTTCCCAATGCCTGTTCAAGTGCTTAAATAATATAATTTCCCCTCGCACTTGTTCATTAAATCTTCTATGACAGGCTATTTACAGTTATTTATTAAGAACTCTCCAGCCCCACATGACAGTATACCAAAACTTAAACTTTTTTATCACACAAAAATAATAATTTTGTTCAATTAGAACATCTAGTCGAGTAAGCTAAAAACAGGGTTATATTTTGGGTGGATTTTTGCCCATTTCTTTCTTGTAATTGTGCTTCTTAGAGGTCCATCTTCAGAATCTTCAGACAAAGGAGTAGCAGTGTTGCTTTGTCTTACTTCCTCAGCTTCAGCTCTGGCTGGCTGTGGTATGGTGCCAGGGTTCCACTGCTGCATTTGTATTTGTCTGACAGCCATTGGTTGGGCATTGATAGGGCCAGGGTTCCAATGCTGCATTTGCATTTGCCTCACATCTATTGGTTGGATATTGAGAGGTACTACTCTTGTTTGCGTGACCATTCTGTCACCAGACTCAATTTGTGCAATCAGTCGACAGGTTCCTCCCAATATCAACATCTAAAAATGATTTCAATGAATATAAAACAGTCAACCCTTTACGCATTAACATCAGTGTGCATCTTCTCCAAATTGTTCTTAATACATTTCCTAGGGTGCTGACAAGAAGAATTTGTTTAACAATTAAGAACTTCTCTAGTTGCTGATCATTTCTGTTAGTCTTATGATCTCAGTGAATGATGCAGCAGTGTTTACTGTAAGGAGAAGTGAGGCAATTGTCTCTTTTTGGGTTGAAAGGGTTATGTTTACTCGAAATATTTAAAAACCTAATAATTTTTGTACTTATCAAGCTGAAAATTTTAACAGTTTCTTTGCTTACTAATTACTTGGCTCATTTTCTTAACTTGAGTTTGTTAAATTTGTTGCCATAGTTCCTTATTTTATACTTAAATTGATCTTTCGCTAATGTTTTCCTAAGTACCTGCATAACAGCAACAATAACTGAACATGTTGCTAAGATAATGTGGTTCTTCTTAGTCCAATCCATGAGATGTGTGTAACAGTCCTGGAAAGATTTGACAACAATGATAAGGAAATAATTATTATTGTAAAAAAGCAGTTGGGAATTGAAAAAACTGAATCCTGACAGAAATAATTTAATCTTTTGAAACCAAAGAATAAAGTTCAACTTCTCAATGTTGTTAGGGCAGCCTATACAATAGGGATATTCTGATTCTTCAAAGTACAAAAAAAGGGAGGTTTTAATTAGTGCAGCAAAACTGTGACCACAAATGCCAAAGGCATGAGCCAGGGAGGAGGAGGTCTGAATGAATTCCCCCTCCAAAATCTTAAAACCAAGGCCTCTATAATGTCACTTCTTGCATTTTGAGATAACAAACAACCCATGGGGGGGGGGAGGGGGGATACTGCCCTGAATTTGTAGTGAAGGTAATAAAAGCCCAAGATACCCCAAGAGAATGGTAAAGGATGGTTCTGAAAAAAACAGTGAGAACATTCTTCTAAGCTTTCTTTACAGGGGAAGCCATAATGGAGGGTTGGAATTACTGACAAGGGTAAAATTTTCTAAAGGAGCAACAGAATGTTCAGTTTACCTCCAATCTGCCCTTTTCTGGATCATTGTCGACAAAACAGGATTTGTCTGAACTTGACTTATGGTTGAGGTTTTGTGGCTTTAGACCACAGCATTCAAACTTGAATTTGAAAAAAGTAAATGAAATGAGCAAGAAGAATAGATTCTGAACTAGATTATCAACCCTTTACACCCTCTCATCAGTTTGTATTCTCTCCATGCTGTGCTTCATACATTTCCTGAGGTGCTGACAAGGAGAATTTGTTTAACAATCAAGAGCTTCTTGGTTGGTGATCCTTTCCTTTATTCTATTTAACCATGATGTGTGACTCAGGGATGAAATTGTACAGGAAATTATATGCTAGTCATGTTCAAAGGGTTAAGGTGTACATGCTCAAAGAATAAATAATACCTTCGTGGTTAGAAAGTAGAGTGTTATATATCTTACACCCAAATAATTCATTACCTTTCAATGTTGAATAACAGTAAATTGAACTGCATATTCACCTCTTTCTGAATATTGATTCTAGCTTCATCAGTTGTTTTGTTCCAGTTTGTAGCAATATGGTCTGGTATCTTAAACAAGTAAGATAAAATAAAAGTTCAAAAGTTAGTATTGTACATCCTAATATCAGTATGCATATTTTCCATACTGTTCATCTTAAATTTCCTGTGGTACTGAGTTTGGGTAACAGTCAAAAGCCTGTCTGGTTTACAGTCACTTCCTCAATTGTCATGACCTTGATGTTTGAATCAATAATGATGCTGTATGGAGAAATTTGATGCTAGTCTCTCGGTTAAGGGGCTGTCATTGTTAGATTGCCTTCCTTTGATCGGTAACAACCGCATAATTAAAATCTGTAGTTGATGTCTATTTCTGCATGGGTCAGTGATCTCTATTTAATTGTTCACTGAATAATGACTTTGTGATCCTTATGAAATGGGTGAATGCAATTTGAATAGTCATTGTTATGTGAATTAAAGGAGTTGTGACATTTTATATCTAAAGAATAGCTTCCATTTAGTGCAAAAATATGCACAAATATTTGTCCACCAACATTATCTGTTCCAAGATGTGAACAGAGCTTTTTGTGTTGGATGTAAGGATTGAAAATTTGGAAATATCACTTGGGATAAAATCATACTTCAATATCTCACAGCTTTAGCATGGGGATATTTGGTCTCATGATATGCAAAAATATTTGATGGATTATAATTAAAATTATCATAACATTCAAGGTATTCATGCAGTTTCACACACCTTGTCTTTTTCTATGTAGAGATAAATAGCTACACCAAGTTCAGCCAGCAGTAATACGAACATCAATGCAAAGTACTAAAAAATAAGTGAAAAGAAAAGCATTGAAATGAAAGGGAGTTACCTTTTGCTCCACCATTACTGTGTTTTAACAAATGGCGAACTGCACATCAGGAAATGTTAAAGATTATATTCTTATGTTTTACTTTAACTTTGAGTGTCAATTTTACACCAGAACCAACAGTCTAGCTGGAAACTATCTTTTGGGAGTTGTAAATGGTAGCATGTTAAGTTATTATGATGCAAACTTGAGTTTTGTAATGCTTCTTGATATGCATTAACTTTGATATTTACCATTTTAAGTAGGTTGTCTTTCATTAGAAGAATTCCACATGATCCAACAAACCCTGATGTAAAAAAATGAGCAAACATGCTGATAAAATGAAGTTATAAAAGTGATATTTTTCTCCACTGAACTTAAGGAAAGCACCTTCACACAAACGAGCCCAGAAATTGGGATTGAGGTCACTTACTGTGTAATTTTGGGGGAAATTCAGTTCTTCAGAGTATGCTTAATTTCTTAAATAGCCTCAATAAACCCACCTTTCCTTTGATAGGTGAAAAGGACATTTCCAATGAGAGAAATTTCCGGTGATAGGAAGATTAGGGAGGATTTACTTCCCCTCTCTTTAAGGGAGATGAGGCATGTTACATTTCTTTTGGTCTCTACATTTAGGGCAAAACACTGGTCGATGTTTAGGTGAGGATCACACCAGGAAATTAACTGTACTGTCTACCTCTAATTGAAGGAAAACTTGAGTGAGGATCAGAATCCTTTTGGGGTTTAACAAATACTCTTGTCAAGCAAGCTACACAAAAATATGCAAGATCATCCCCTAAAGGGTTAAATTTACATTCAGTAAGAATGAGTACATACCAATGATAAATACAAACGATGACAGCACAATATAGCCAATAGTTACGTACTGTTAAGATAGAAATAACAATAGTGTTCTTACTATAAAATAACTAAGTTTTTCACTTATGTATTTTTTTTAAATTTTTAAATATTTTATCTGCCGTGTGGAGAGAAATCCTGTTTTTCTAAGCGGTATTATCCATGTGTTGTTGAATCTCGTGCATTGATTAATATAGTCCAGAAAAACAACATATCCAGCCCTTCCATGCTGCTAATTGCACTCTTCCTTGCCCCTTTTGAGAACTGAACTCTCAAGAAGATGTGATATCATTTCTACCCTAAGCTTTAACAGGCCCATAGGTATGCCATGGGTCCTTGAAAAGGGGATCAATGGCCAAATCATGTATTACAGAGCTGGGTCTCTATCCCACAAATGTGATAAATGCCAAGGAAGTATCTTTTCTTCATTTTTCATGCTACCTGAGTCCATGAGGACTTGTGTCAACAAATCTCTCCTTCCTTCCCCCTTCACCATTAACTCTGCCTTCCCCCACCAGGCTTAGGCAGGTTCTGATCACGATCAGAGTCTAAGGTACCAGTCTTCGCATAAAACATCCTTTTCCTGGGCCTAGCCTACTTAATAATTAATGTACGAAAGTACATCTTAACTTGAATTTTCTCCGATAACTGTAAAAAGGAATACAAAAAAAACGCACCAGATTTCCAGCCAGGTGTTTATACTCCGTGTCTTGTGTTGTGATCCATATTCCAAGGCCAAGCATCACAGAGCCTCCAAGCTGTTGAGAGAGTTAGACGTGTCGCATGAATACATTGATTGGCATTGACCGGTGGCGGCAAAATATGTGTAAGAAGCCAGCCAAAAGTGTCGGAAAATGGTACACGTAAAAAAAAATATGTGTAAGAAGCCGGGCAAAAGAGTGTCGGAAAATGGTACACGTAAAAAGAACTATGTGTAAGAAGCCGGGCAAAAGATTGTCGGAAAATGGTACACGTAAAAAGAACTATTTGTAAGAAGCCGGGCAAAAGAGTGTCGGAAAATGGTACGCTTGGAAAGAACTATATGTAAGAAGCCGTGTAAAAGATTGTCGGGAAATGGTACACGTAAAAAAAAGTGCGAGGCTGGATGGAGGGTAGGGTATTGGAGAGAGCGGTGTTGTTTTGGGGGTTTATTCCACTCCTGACTAACATCAGTGTACATATTCTCCATAGTATTCCCTGAACATTTCCTATGATGAAGACGAGGAGAATTTGTTTAACAACCAGGGGCTTCTTTATTTAATGACCTTACTGTGTGTTTCAGTCGTGATAATCAGAGGCTTAGCGTCCATATACGCAAGTACGCCCGTGCGTACAGCTGAAATCTGGAAAAAAGAATTTTTTATTCCCTTATAGCATTTGCCACAGTTACCATGAAATAGGACCAATTTTTAAATTTTGAATTATATTGGCGTGTGTGTTTGTTTTCCAGTACCTTTTCATCAATCCATAAACGACATGAGACGTTATTTGGCTTCCTTGACTTGTTAATTCTCTAGTTATTTTAGGAAGCCAACACCCTTTTAGCTTTAAAACTCTACAGATGGGTAAAATAAGCAACTAACTACTGCAATTTTTTGTCGCGTTTATTTCTAAAAAAGTTCAGGGGAAATAGTTGGAAATGACAATTTCGAGAACCGAAATTTCACAATTTTCTGGGGGAGCATACCCCCCAGACCCCCCCCCCTAGTTTGGGGCACCTTCGGGGCTCCCAATTTCCGCGCTGTGCGTACACCTTCAAAGTTTCACGCTGCGCCCCTGATAGTGTGAGTAGCATCAGATCATGGCTAGTTACTCTTATGTGTTAGGTTAGGGCAAAACAGGATTCTGAACGGAAAAAGTCCAGAGATGTTTCCCGCTAGCCTAAAGAATATCATCTTTTCTGTATCCACCGACTTTTTTACATTAAAATAGGAAATATTTCATCAGTGATCAGAGGTTCTCATAACGGCTATGCGAAATTCAGGCATAGGTGAGCGAAGTAACGATTTGTGTTGCTAAGGGCTGTCGGTTCGAAGGCCTGCTTTGGGCCATCACAGTTCCTGTCGTGTACTCGCTTATTGACTTGACATCTCTATCATCTACAACCACTAAATGCCCAAGCGCAACATTGTTTTTACTGATAATAGAGGTGTGGGGATTTGTATGGAGAAAATGTTTGTATAAGCAACTGAAAAGAGAAAAAACTCAAGGATCTAAGTCTCAAAACGTAACTAACATCGATCACTTGAAGTTGTATTCCCTTTGTTTCGAATGTTTCGTAGTGTCGTAGTTTTTAATTGCTCCTCTTTTCCAAAAGCCACACAAAAGAAAAAGAAACAAACGACAGAAGCGAGGCGACCAATTTTTTTTTGTAATTTTTTTTTTCTATTTCGTATAACAACCATTTCCTTGTAGATCCAGCTTGAGGTACGTACGTTGCAACTGTCTTTCAAATACTCCAACTTGACATTTTTTTTTTTTTTCTCGGCGACTGCAACTCCAAAGCTTAATTACTCCCGCAAAGGGGGATGATTGAAGATTCCAAATGAGAAAGGGAACCTTTAGACTTAATTAAACTAGCGACATTCTTTCGTCTCTTTACCTTTGCACAGAAATGACCCCGGACAAAGTTTGCCTTACGACCCTATACAGTCATATCACTTTGATTGCTTTTCTACGTCAACTAAATAGCTACTGACTGTTCCAATTTTGAATTTGATGATTAAGACGGCTTTGACGATTTTTTATTTGATGCGCTTTTGTATTTAATGCGCGAGTCAAAATGACAGAGCTTCCATTCCAACTCTTTAAGATTTTACATTGTATACCCTAAAAGCCAGTTTTAGAAATACTATGGGGATAGTAATTGAAAAAAAAAAGGATTCAAGATGGGCTGGTTTAAAATTTAATGGAATAAATTTAAAGATCACGCAGTCAAACTTCCTTAATTTGTTAGCGTAAATGGTATTTTTTGTTTTTGTTTTGTTTTAATAGACTAGGGATTGTGTTCAGATATGCTCCTCAGGCGACAGAATTTCTGAAATGAAATCTGTTTGAGAATCAAGGAAGATCAGATTGAAACTATGTTTTTATCAAACCAGTTTATCCAGCAAAATTGAAGCCAGTACAATTAATCGACTCTATTCCTTGCTTGAGTTAAGGTCCATAGAGTGCAAGCAAAGTTGAATTGAACGGAGTCACGTCTATCAAAGCATATCAAAAGTGATATTTTGCCAGTTTAGACGAAGCTTGTGGGAAATCTTGCTTAAAAATTGAGCACTACGCGGAAACCCAATCGAATCTACAAGAAAATTTTTTGACCACGAAATCCGTAGATTTTACAATCCCATCAACGGTATGGGTAAAATCAGCCATTGAGTACAGAACGCTTCGAGAAATTACAATTTTCTGACGTCGGAACTTCGAAATCCAGCCGAGAGTTGTTCATTTAAAACATGCTGCGTATAGAAATATCGACATTAATATAAAAATCCGTGATTTTTCCTCGTGCGCTAACTTCAAAATGATTTGAAATAAACCCGTGGGTTTATCTTTCATGATCAGATTACCACAAACAATCACGACGGCGATGTAAAATCGCTTTCTCTAGACGAGATTTTACTGACATAAAAATGATCTTTGAAAGTCTTTTAACACTAACGTACGATGAAATGAAGCGATAGAAAGGTTTTGTGGAAAACGATACAGGTTTGAAATCGTGATCTGTGAGGCTTCGTTGGCCAGAGAGTCTAGCTGTGTGCACTTGGCAACTACGAACCGTATACAATACTGTCTGCGCGAAGTTGAAGGATTACCTGTGCGAGGTTTGCGTCACTGGTAGAGAAACTAAGATTTGCCACATTTACCAAAACTTACCCAAACCAGGCAGTTCATGGCGAAGACACTCCAGCGCACACAAACTGAACAATTATCCATGTGAACCATAATTCCTTTATGTTGTTAAGGTAGCAATACTACCTCAAATCGAAATGACCTAGTCTAGAAAGGTGTCTGTGTCAACATCCGTAAAAACGATGTTATTTCGCAAAACCATAGTGCTGTAATAATAGCGATATCATTACTGAACTCCTAATATTTCGGCCATGAAATCTCGGCTAATGAAGTGCTGCCAGACCTCACTTAGGTAACGCTTGGACGATTTTTGTTTGTAATTCAAACCAGGTCGAAGAGATAAAGGGTGTCACTCTGCTGGAGGCGGCCAAGGGCAAAATGCCTCAATCATGCAAAGTAGCTCTGGAATGGATTTTAAAATAGCTCATACTATAAGTATGTCAGCCGGAACTCTCTCAAGGTGCTAAAACAAATACTCATTGTTTCACGACAAAATGAAATTAAGTTTCTCTGTTTTGAAAGTACTTTTTAATAGTTTTTTTTTCTTCGTGTATCTTCCTCGCGGAAAACCCCAACTAAAACTTTTAAATAATTTGATCGTTGTCTTTTACTATAAGTCTTAACCTCAAACGAAGTAGAGACTTAAAGGAAACTTTAACAAATCTATTTCATGGCTGTATTGAAAGCCGTCATGCGACGGACAAATAACTCAGTCAGATTTCGACAGATCTCCTTTGCAATTAATTAAAATTTGCATGGCATAATTGACAGATTCTGCACATTATTCTTGACTACTGGTACATATTAAATCAATAAGCAACTGTGAGATCAGTTCATGAAATAGAGTTAGCTTTTCCCTTCGTGTGTATACAGCGCTGTCGCGAAACGAATACGTTTGAAAAATTTGCATGCAGGTAGTTGTGATTTCATAAACTTTCGCGCACTTACCAAAACAACTGTTGTAAATGTACACAAAGTATATTTCAAACACACGCCCATTTCACATTTCCTTCACATCTGTGCTTTTTCGCACGCAGAAAGTGATGCTTGGATCGTATGGTCACTGATGCGGAATGTCTCAAACGAAAACATATAATTCCAGCCATTGCTAACTGCAACAATGCTCTCATGACGTCACACATTCCCTTACTCCTGTCATTCGCTCTTACTTGTAAACTTTGCCAATTCTTATATTATATTTTGGGAATGGAGAAGGCTATTGGTCAGATTTTACAAAACAATCATGGTAATTTGCTTTATTGAGAAGTAAATTTCGTCATATTTTTAAAACACAATGACGTACTCCAGCTGTGTTGTAAAATGACTAAGAATGGAGAATACAAACGCCAATAAATCGTTCCAAAGCTGCTGACAGATTTCAATAGACCCCAGTGCACACATAAGCCTTGCTTATGATGTTGCAAATAAGTCCGTCAAGAGCGGAACGCGAAGAGCGTAAACTGGGACGGATTGCCTTGGCGCACGAGGATTGACGCGAGGGAGGGCTCTTATCACCGTTGAAAAAAGGAGACAAAAAAAGCAGCTCTACTTAAAAGTAACTGACTTTAATACAGGTTTATACACCAATATAAAATACAGAGTATTCAAGTGTGTTAATTAAGTCGACTGGGCAGAAAACAAAAATATTAAACGAGGACGACAACATCTACGCTCTTCAAGTGGTCTAGCAAGATGGTTAAAAATTTCACATTCCGTTGTGCATTCCTTGTGGGTGGACGGGTGTGTTGCAAGAAAAGCAGTTTCAAAATTAAAACAGAGCTTACACATCACCTCTGATGGTCACTCGTAGTCCATTAAAACTAAATGATGCTTTACTCTTTATCATTCAAAGCGGTTTTCGATAAAATGTCATGGTGTTCACGACCTACTCATTCTTTAACAACACTATTCACTTTTCTTCACCATCTCACGTAATCTACACTGGGCCTGCATGGTCGTTTACTTTTCAAATACAGAAGTATTCCCTGTTAATTAACATAAATTTTCCCTGACACGCGACAACAAACCTCAACTGCTTCAGGTTTTTGTCATAGCAGATGTTTTTGTTCCACATCTCAAGTCGATAGTTATTCTCCGGCGAAACCTTGAAGGTTGTACCGAACAAAACTCACAGAAGCCAACACGCGACTGAAGACCAAAATCACACACAACTTTCGGACCTGGTAACTTATGCGTCTGTACAAACTACCCCAGCAAGAAAATCCCTCTAGTTACTGGAAATTTTCAAACCTCAACGTTCTTCCAGCTTATCTGACTTCCCATGCAGACCACAACTACCTTATTATGACCTGTTCCTACATATTGTTGTTGGTCAAACCAGCTCAATGTTTCAACTTCTTGATTTTCTTCCCTGGCGGAGCCCACCTCAGACATGACGTGTCCACTGACAGTACTGGTTTGCGGTAGTGCGCACTCTTGACATGCTCCTCGACAAGTTTGGGCGTAACGCATATCACGTGTTGACCTTTCCAGTATTTCACCATATTCAACGACTGAAGTGTGTTGATTATGTCCTCCTGAGTAATACTTGTCATGTTGCTACGGAAAATAAAGACGGAGAGATAATGCTAATTAACGAATGCCTCTGATAACAAACATCGTGATCATCCCAATGTCGCGACCTCTTCTGTTAACCCTTTACACCCCAACACTGATAGTCATTTTCTCCACACTACTCTCTTTACATTTCCTCTTATACCGACAGGGAGAATTTGTTTGACCAACAAGACCTTAAATTGGTGATCATTTCCTTTACTCTCATGAACTTTACATTTGATTTAAAGCCGACACTGTATGGAGAAATTAGACACGGGTCACTCTTAGCAGTTGCTACTCCTTCTCTTCGATGTGAAGCGAGACAAGTACAGGGCTCCCCTACAACAAATCACGCCAGCACGCAACACTTCTGGCTGGAGAGAGGCACTGTCAAAGTTAACTGTGACTGTCTTACCAAAGAACATAAAATCCTTCGCATTAGGTGCGAGTGAACTTTCCACTACAAAAACTCCTTCACTTCCCCATTCCAAAATGTCCCAGGATGTCCAGAAAACTAGCTACAAACTCTACACAAACCTGAGATCCTTAATGGAAAGTGTTCCTCTGAAGTTTCGAAGAATGTCCAGTAGAATCCAAGACCAGTAGCTTCTATAACTTAACTTGCCCAGATCTGACAAGGGCTTCTCAGGTGATCCAACCATCTGCTCAATTTTAGACAATTCATAGCCTGACAAAAATGTCATATAAAAATTTTCATGTAGTAATCCACTAAGATTATAATTTATGGACAGAGTAGAACCACAATAAGTGGATGTGAGGCGCACTTACTGAAGGCTATTAAGAATTTCCCATATCCTTTCCTCTGATAGGGTGGTAAAGTCAGTATGCATGCTACATTGTTTCCATCAGGTGATTCTTTCTCCTGAGATGAAGGGAAAAAATTCCTTTCAAAAATAAGCTAGATTACTCTACTGTCTGACAAAACATAGCCCGGCTATTATGGTGCACAACTTTAAGCTCTTTTTTGATAAAACACTGAAGAGGAGAAAAAGGAGAAAGTGGACTGAAAGCAGAGTGTTCTGTTGCAAAATCTCTAGTTCAGGTTTTTGTCACTCAGTTGTAAAAAGTGCTCTGAAGATGAAAGGGCACAGTAAGCCAAGAAAAAGAATAAAAACAACCAGACAGTTGCATTGCAAAATTTCTTGTTTTTATTTTTATCGGAGAAATGCACCCTAAAGAGGGGAAAACAAATCAAAATGTTGGCAAGCCAGCAAGATATGTTCTTTAACTCTGGGTAATTTCATCAAGGAAACTGCAATTACAGCCTCAAGGATTCAGTTCATCATGCACTGAGATAATCTGCCTTCATAACGCACTTGCAGTCTTTCTTTACCTTTGAGAAGTATCCAACTAGATGGGCACCATCTCTGTCCACTTCAGTTAGCAAGTAAAACAAGAAAGGTTCCACATCAAAGTACAGAGTCTTGTGATCCAGGAATAATTTTGCAAGGAGACAAATGTTCTGACAATATAACTGAAAAAATGAAGTAGATAATTTTACCTATAAGTAGTGGAAGAAGTATGTTTGGTCTGTATGCGTCTTGACCCTTTCACTCCCGAGGTCTCATTAGTTATTCTCCTTTCTCTCCGCTATACAATTCTTATGATGTTAGCTCTGAGAATTTGGTACTGAATCAGTTAATTATCCCCTTGTTGATATTTTTCTTGATTCTCATCACTTGTCTGCTTGATATTGTAATGATATTGTCAGGAGAAATTCTGTCTTGGTCACTCACAAGGATTAAAGGGTAAAAGTAGTCTATAAGGAAACTAATACTGGTAAGAGAAGATTTATGCATGGAACAAAATGCATATACATAGACCCTTCACAAGCTGTTCTTGAAGTCATGACTCATCAAGTGGCTTAATAAAAAATAAAACTGCATGTACAAAATATTGCTTTTTAGTATAATTTCAGAGCTGAGCAAAGAGTTTCCAGCAATCTGATTGGAGCGGTTCCTTATATGACGCTATATAAACCGCTCCACGCAGTTTATATAAAATGTTAAAATAAAATGTTAATAAATGTTACTAAAATGTTATGAATTTAGACATTTCTCTGTTGTTCAGCTCCGAAATTATACTAAAACAATTATTCGCCTCAGGTTCAGTGAATATCGTTGAATAATCCCCTCAACTTCGTCTCGGGATTATTCGACGATATTCACCTCCCCTTCGGCGAATAATTGTTAAGTAGCAGGCTCCTAAACAACAAATACACTGTAATATAATGATATTATTATCTGTTTAAGACACAACAAATACTCTGTGGAGAAACAGTACACAGATATTTTCACCTTATTTTCCTTCCCATCTACTTCATAAACTGAAATTGTTCCTTTGCGATATATTTCTTTCCCAGGAGGCTGTCGCATACTACACCTTCCCTAATGTAAGGTTAGAAAATCCCAGAGTGAATGAAAAAAGTTAAAACACTATAGGAATACTGTAAGACTTGTAAAAATTATGCATTTCAACCAATGTACTGAATTGTTTGCACTCTCCTCATATACTAAGTTACTGTAACAGTTTCTAAATTCAAACAATAAACATATCAAGAAATGACACAGATTAGTAGACTGGCTTCTGAACTAAGAGTGGCACTGCTATTCCCTATACAAGTAATTATATTTAAGATATGGCTTCTAGCTTGCAAAGTTACCAAGGCTGTCAAGAAATATCTCTGAATAAAGGCTGATAGTTTCTAAAGAAACTGTTTGGGGCTGCGTCTGATCACAGGGATCAACGAACGCTCTTCATTCCACTAATTTATTCGTGTTTTTCTCGTTGCCATGTTCCCACCAATCACGTAGCTCTATTTCCTGCCTTTAAGAGCACACACAACCCAAAATTCCCCTATTCGCTCCAACGAAGGGCTAACGCTCGAAATGTGAGCTTTTATAATTGCAACGGTGGCCAATTTACCATTTCAACTTTGTTGATATATCCAAAGAAATATCTCTACATCTCATCAAAGAAGGAGTTGGCATCCAATTCTCAAGGGTTTCATTAATGTTTTCAGCAGGAGGGTAAATGGTTTTCACAGGCGGGCGAAACTTTTTAAACTAAACTTCTTTATAAGAAAAACCTTCCTCCAGATTGTTAAACCAGGTGGGGAAAACCGTCCTTACAACCAGTCAATTTAGCCGGTGCCTGGCCCTTAATGAAACCCCCGAATTCTTAAAAGTGGTTTTTACCAACAGATGGTTCTTATGATCAGGGGTTTCATTAAGGGCCAGGCACCAGGCAAATTGACCGGTTGTGAGGACGGTTTTGCCCAACTGATTTGACGGTCTGGAGGAAAGTTTATCTTATAAAAAAGTCCAGTTCAAAGAGTTTTGCCCGCCTGTGAAAACCAGTTGCCCTCCTGCAGAAAACATTAATGAAACCCCTGTATGATGGTACTTGATTAAGTAATTTAGCCAAAGTCCCCTGCTTACTCTTATCCTCACCAGGTGCTTTTTGTATGTTTCCTCAAACTTCATATACTTGATGCAATATTCACAAACCCACAGTTTATTCTGCTTTCCGTATTCCTCAGGGAAGGGTGAAAAGTACCAGGCATCAATCTCATATTTGCCAAACTGGATCTTGTCCACATACTTTATCTTTGTGATCTTTAGTGGACATGAGAATCAAGAAAACAAAACATAAGTATTAACAACCTCTGCTACATCCTTGAAAGCTATTTATAATGATATTATTCAAATTTTGAAGTGCTGTGGAAAATTCTAAGATCTCTCTGCCAGGCAAAAGTGTGTTTAGATAATTACAAACTTACAGCTTCATGTTCTTTCTCCAGGGCTGCTGTTGTTGGATCCATTTCTGCATAAGTCTAAAAAGAAATAATTTAGAGTGAGAAGGTGCTTGTATACCTATGGACACTTATTTTACCTATATATTATTAAAATGGGCAAAAAGGGCTAACTGATGAAAAAAATTAATAATATAAAAGGGAACAGCATCTTTTTAAGATTAAGCCCAGTAGTGAAAACCTTTAACAGTTTTGATTTTTGCCTATTGTCTCAGGTAAGTATTCATCTAAGATCTGATAGAATTTAGCAAAAGAACCCTAATGACTGGTCCGTTCTATTGAGTCAAAAAGGTATGATAGTTGCCTAGTTGACATTCTCAGAACTCCTGGTAAAATTTTCAGCCAACTCCAACAACAAAAATTTTCTCCTACAAATCACAGTAGACTTCCAACCGCAAAATAAAACTCCCCATGTACTGATACAAAGACAACTTTGCGATTCTGATTATTTGGAATCATGTAAAAGTGAATTACCTCATAATCAGCTTTTCAGAAGAATTATAATTTTAGAAGAATTGTAACTTTCATGCCACATCAATCCATGTAAAATGACAAACTTTACAATAATCATTTTTGAAAAAACATGCTTTATCTAAAGTACATCAACTAAGCAGATAACTTTTGTGAATTTCAAATCAAAATAGTTTCATCCAACTTACTTTCTGAACATGATTTATTTCATCATGTTTGCGTTTCTGATTTCTTGTCAGTTTCCTTTCTGGACCTTCAATGTCAACTTTCTCCTCTACAATTGGAATATGCATGTGGACGTCTTTCTGCTGAAGATCAACTCTTTCCATAGGCACCCACTCATCCAGGCGTCTGTTGACTTAATGACAGAAACCACTTTTTTGTATCCTGTATACCAGTAACTAGTGTAAATATTTCTATGGAACAGTTAGATGCAATTTGCTAAAAATGTTATTCACGAATTGGCAGTAACACTTCCCTTCACAAAAATAATACCTTAGCTAATAGAAAATGAAATTTTAGGTTTTTCTGGAAATTTTTAGAAACTTGAAAATAACAGATTAAAAACAGAATCCATCCAAATTACAATTGTTACAGCTATATAAGAAAGAAAACAAATTAATTTGGTTTGATATTTCATTCCCCTTTGATGTAACCTGTGATCACAAACATATGGAAAAACCAATTCTCTGTGAGAAAGTACAATTAGTTTTATGTACCACAGCTTAATAAATAACCCCAGTTCAAACAAAACAAGCAGATTTTAATGGCGTCACTTTTCCAGCGACGTCACATTCTGGGGATAAACACGTCACAATACGATTAGTAAGCTGACATCAATCACATTTGAAGGAAAAACAAATCCACCGCCCAGCAAAAACATCAGAAGGACATAAGGGTCGTCGTTTATCTAAACTATGTTGGATGCTTATTCGAGGAGCCTTTCCTATTGAAAATGATAGAGTTTACAACCTTATTTATATCAATGAAAAGCGAAAGAAAGCAACTTACATCCATGGTAATGAACGTAATATTCCGATTTTCCCTCATCTACCGGTCTGATGTGTATAATTTCAGCAGGATCTATTAATAAAAGCGAAAAAAATTGCAAATAATAGATCGAATCTACGTGGACGAACGAAAGTGAGTCAGCAAAATATTTCGAACATACGCCATTGCTGATCGGACGGCCGTTGCACTAAACACTGTCGTTCGGCATCTAATCCTGAAACCTCCGACGTTTTTCGAGTCTTGGAGCTTTTTTCTTCCATTTTCTTTGGTTTTGAACCGAGATCACGCTTTTCTTCTTCAGTTTCAAGGCCATCTTTCTTGCTTTCTCCGTTGACACCCGGCATGTTGTTGTCTGAGTCCATGTGCCATAAATGATGTCCCGTCATCCTTAGTGAGCCTCTTTACTGCTTGTCACGGATTTGTAGCGTGACGACCGACGTTGCGTTACTGGCCCCAATGATGTCTTTCGGGCTGCCCGTGAATTACCCCTAAAAATCATTTTCAAGCTAGAAAGAAACATGTTCGGAACGTCGATTCAAAGTAAAGCTTCAACTGACTGCCGAATTTTTCGGCATTTTTGAAGCGGCTGTTGTTAAAAGAACTGGCCATCGGAAAGTGTTTGCAATTAACTGTGTTTTTAATTAATTTCTTTCTTTTCTCTTTTTCATTAGAACTGATCACCCATCTTTTCTCGAAGATTTAATCAAAGTCATAATATACCGGAAACTTCCTAAGAGCTATTCTCCACGGAATATTAGAGAGAAAATTAAATCTAAGGAAAGTGACCATTGTGCAGAACTTAACCGAATGTTTTGAAAGTTGTAAGGAAACACCTGTGGTAGGGGCCATGGTTGCAACCTAATAAGGATACGGGATACATTTTAAAACCAGTCTCCCCTAGGAATGCTCAAAAAGTGAGTCCAAATAGTGCATTGAGCTTATCAGCCCAGCTATTACGGTAAGCGAAAAGATAAAGACGTGTAGATCGATATCGTGGATATTACATGTGTGACAAACAATTGTTGTTAAAGTTACTGATTGGGACTAGCTGAAATGCCTGAAAAGTGGCCTCTGCAACGACTAATACCATCATTTTGTTTTCCAATTCGTACATCGTATAACCGAAATGCCATCTGTACTCGATCTTTTTCCTTACGGTTTCACTAACCAATTTGTTTTTACAGCGAAAACAACTTATCGTTTTTCGAGAGTGTCACGCAAGGACCCTAACGGCTGGACACAGTGCGCAAAACTTTTTACGCAGTTTTTCGCGCAGGAAAACGTTACACTAATTTTGGTATGGGTGATTCAGGGGCAGATCATAGATTTGGTTAAAGACATAACTGGATGGTAGGTATCAGAGAAGTGGTTATTAATCTGATTATACGCTAGCTCGTGCGACAACCCGCCAAGTAAAAGTAACGCAGTTTTTCGCGCAGGAAAATGTTACACTTATCGTAGTACGGGTGATTCCGAGGCAGATCATAGATCTGGGTAAAGACAATACTGGGTTGTAGGTATCAGAGGAGTGGTTATTACTTTGATTATACGGTAACTTGTTTGACAATCCACCAGGTAAAAGTAAATTAGAGAGGTACTTTTAACCTTTTGTTTGCTCGTATCGTGTGCAAACAGACATGACACGAGATTAATTTATTCACGAAATTTTGCATAGTAGGTGTTTTCAGAAACAATATGCCATAAATATTCAGTTTTGAGCAAAAAATGTCCCAGAGACCAAGGCCTTAAATTCATCTATGTCAACAGATGTCGACCTACTGAAAATTATAACTGACCATCAGCCTACGTACGTCACAATTTCTTTGGCCAGCCAACTGTTTAAAGTACTGAAGGTTCTACGAGATACTGAATACTTTTCAATTCGGTGAGTTACGATTATAAAACGATAAATACGTTGATTTAAGACATTTAAAAAGGTTGTCCCAAGCCAAAAAACAAGCGAATCAATAACTCCATAGAGGCAAACGTTCGGCGAGTTGCAATCTGAGGGAACCCCTATACTGAGTACTTCCTAAGCGTTCCTGCCACACCATCGATAGGGTAAACCTAACTGAGTTGATGTAAAACATCAGACACCTCTGCGGCAAAACCACTGTAGAAAAATTAAATTTTGGATCGCACTGTAACCTAAAAGAGTGACATCGAAAAAATTTGTCCACGATTCGTGTGGAGCGACAAGGCAGTCAAATCCACAGGCAGACCAACCAACTGGCACAGACTCGGTGAAGTTGTGTTGATGCTTTTTTTTTTTTTGTAAGTTCCCAAATGTGATTCCTGACAAAATTTGCATAAAATCGGAATGAAGAAGAGATGTGAGAGTATGTTTATTGGCACAGAAAAGAAGAATCAAGTGTTTGTGCTTCACAACTTCCTAATACTAAGCATTCAAAAGCAATTTGGCGGAGCTAAAAAAAAAAACAGCACAATAATCAAGGTTTGTTACTGAGTTAGTTTGCATCAAGATCGTACGATCACCTTAATTGTAACCTTAGGCATGACCGATAAGCGCCCAAATAATAGGGCAGGATGGACTGTTCTGGGATTTCAACAACTTTTTCATGAGCGGCTGCCGTCCAGAAAAGGGGCCGTCAGGCGAAACCCTAAAATCGAGCCTGCTCGAAAGCTAAACAAACGGCGCTAAGAAGTCCTATAGTTGACGGAATACCGCCGGTATCGATCTGGCTTTTATTAAAACCCCTGCCGTCATTTTACTACCGTGGCTTGCGACTTTTCGTTCTGTTGTTTTTCCACTGAGGAAGGCTATGGGATTGAGTTGGTAATTTTATGACTTTGTTGGCTGGGTGTATTACCCTGCAGGAACGCTCACGACTCGTTGAACGTTTTAATACGGGAGTAAGGCGAACTTATAGTCCACGATTTCATTTGAAACCGATTAGTACCTGGCACATCGTGCGTCAAAACAAGTGCGACAATCAAAGTTTTTAAACATACGACCTGGATTTTGACGCATTTCAAATTTGGACGAAGTCTGAGTCTGACAAAATATTGATAAGGCCGATGATTTATTTGGAGCACTTGCACGTATTCCCGTCGGAACCAAGCCTCGGGGATCTTGCCCCGGCGAGATTGCCACTAGGATCCCCCGGACATCTCAACGTCATTCCCACCCCACATTCCGACCGGGTTTTTGCAGGGATCCCAACGCAATCTTGCGGGGATTTCCGCGATCTCCGGCCGGGTATTTTCGCAGGGTACGATGTGATCTTGGCGCGAGTGCTTCATTCGCCTAACCCCATTTTTTGAACAAATGTACAGGAAGAGTTAAAGTGATATCAGTTATAATTCATATTCAGGCCCTTCTCGATTGTGTTTCTCCTGAGGTCGAGAGCTGAAACGAACAGCTTGTGCGGTTGTATGTTACTTAGTGTTAGAGAACGATCCTCCTCGAGAAGTATAACAGTTTCAAATTTCTTTTCGTAAAAACACCCATCGAACGCTTTTCTATAATCTTCTGACGGTGATTGCCAGCTATACTGAGCTGTTACACCTGGCTGGAAACCGGTTTACTCTGAAGAAGAGATACGGCTATTTTGCGTTTTCCGGGGAGCAAAGCCAAGTTCAAGACAACTACAGTGCGAAAGACACGCGCCAGGTAAGAAGTGCTTGTCACGTTGCACGCCACATAAAGCACTTGCTTACTTTCGCTCCCAAAAAGTGCCAAAAAATTACGCCTGTTTTTTAGGTGATGTTACGGACTGAGGCTCGATGAGAACCTCTACTGAAACCTTTTTAATCCAAAGGGGAGAAAAGAAGCGAAAGCATAGCTAAAAATTTTGGCAGTGTGTTTAATAATCACGTCATCTTCTCGAGACGATGACCTCCAGACCGTCACACGACGATCACTGGAACTCATTCCGTTCGTGATCGTGTGATTCGTTCGACAGAACAGTCTTGTGAAAGGAGGGGGGAACCTCTCCCCATAAGGAACCACCTGTTATCTAGTACCTGAGGTAGTGTCCGAGGATTTTTTATGGGAACCAGTGGCAGATCTAGAGGAGAGGAACGGGGGCCTTCCCCCCTTAATTTGAGTAAAAAAAAAATTAAATAAATAAACGCAGAAGGAAGGAAAGCCGGCAGGTGAACACACACAAACAAAAACGTCCCCTCCCCCAGCTCATAGTCTGGATCCGCCACTGGGAACGCACGGTTTTAGGGGGTTTCAAGGGGATCAGCCGTCGCCGACAAGACAAGACAAGACAACTTTATTTAGCCCGGGTGGCCCAGTCACCTGCGAGGCTGGTATCCTTAGGGGCCCTGGCCCTAGAAAGAGTCTAAAAGAGGGGGCTATAGAAAATTTACTGCTTGTTAACAACCAATAAGAATTTTGCCGAACCAAAATCCTCCGATTCCGCCCCTTCCCCTCCCAAGCGATAAATTGCTACAGTAACAGGTAGCTAAATCGATCAGAGTGGTAGAGGGCATGTGTAGCCGTACCCTCTCCCTCCTCGGGGTGAGGGTTCAGCGTGCCTACATGTAGGTTCGGCATGAAAGAACTAATATTTGGCAGGAACTGTCATGTTCTTTAATGTTGCAACTTGTATCAGAACCTGTTTTTGCGGTATCTTATATAAAAGAAAACACCGTTTGCAAATATCAAAGAATAGAGATTGATCGGTTAGTTTCAACGGTGAGTCCGATAACTGTCTCAGTTTTCGCTCTTGTTGACGGGAGGTCGCATTTTCTTCTGGTAAGTTTCTATTGAAAGCTCATTGAACACGGGGTTCACAGGGATTGATTGAGCACTGATCGTTCAATTTTGTACTTGCGCACAGTATTCACGACTTAGAAAATCCAACGTAAATCTTCCAGTCCCAGTGTACTGTTTGTATTCTGTGACAACCTTTTCTATCCTCAACAATCGTTGTTCCCATTTGTCTTTTTTTTTTTCTCCTCTGAGAGCTTTTTATATTCGGGAAAATGATCGTTTAAGTGTTTTGTTTCAAATCATAAACGACTCCCTGAGATGAAAAATTTACAATGAAGCCTCAAACCTAACAGTTTTCTGACCTGCAAATTAACCTGAAAGCGTGGCATGAAACTATTTGTTTTCTACGAAAATGTCCCACGATCACATCCTAATGACACAATTTTCGCCTTTTCCCTTTTTCATATATTTCATCGTGGCCTTTCCCTTTTCCGATAGTTGTTGTTGTAAAACATCATGGTCCATCGAGCTGACTTCCGGACGCTCTTACGACAAAGGTTAGCTTGACCTCTCGTCTGAAATTAAAGACAGGAATTACGTTTGAAAAAAAAAACAACAAACAAACAAACTTTGAAACCATAGATATGTAACACGAAGCTTTTTACGCTTCTTCGTAACAGTTCCTCGTATAAAAAATTAGTTACATGATTTTGCTCTTCTGAAGTCTGATATGGCTGCAATAGGATCCGATATCCGATGAGTTACTTCTATGCTCGGTAATTGTTTAATTCTCTGCTTTAACTAAACGTGAACTCTTGCACAGGGCTACGCAGAGAACAAAAAAATTTGTAAAGCACAGGACTGGTAAAAGTTAACTCTGACTTATTATTCTATTTAGACTAAAAGCAAACCTCTGACAGCCTCTTTCTCGTATTACTGGCCCCCTCATCAAACGTACATGCATATGGTTTCAAGTTACGAGAAAGTACACATCTCTTCTAGTCTCAAGCTGTCGCGTCACGTTTTAGGAAGTTCACCCGCCCATCAGTGTTTTGTTACTTACACAGAGGCTTTCTCTGCTCTGTATCTGGCGTCTCCGTTCGTATAACAGCCTCTGCCGGTTCATGGCATAATGTTTATAAAGGATACGACTACAAACAAAGGGACAAAAGCAAATATAAAGGGGCTGATCATTCCGGCGTGTCTTTCATACAAATATAGATAGTAGATATGGCTTATTCACTTAGTTGAGGTTAAGGGAAATACTAATTGTTGGCTAAGTTGTTACTATTGTTTTCGTACATTTCACGGAAAAATAGGGCAATCCCGAGCACTTTTTTCAGGGGGGGACATCTTTCAGTTGGATGGCCAAGCAGAACTTCCCCTCCCTCCTCCCGTTGATCTCTAATGCGCTTGGTTGAGAAAATACAATCTCTGTGGAGGGGGATGCTACAGCTGTATCAACAAACCGCAGGGGAGTTCCGGATATCTCAAACTTCCTGACATCTCGCTGTTAGTCCACCTTTCCGGGGTTATACTCATGTCCAGCATATTCAACAATCTTATTTGAACCTGAAAGCCTTAAGCTTCAGGTATTTTAGATCATTTTGCTTTTTCAAGAACAGGAAACTTTCTGTACTTTGACACGCCATTAATTTTGAAATTGCGCGAGTTACGTGAAAACCATCAACCACACGCTGAGGTTTTGATTTTGACAAGTCCTTGTCAGCGGTAGGGTACAGGGCGAACCGTACAGGATATTTTCCCATGAATAAGCAATATTTCTTTTTTCGCGTGCACCGGGGAACATGGTTCATAGTTCACTTGCAGGTAGTACCTGTTGTGGTTGCGTTAACTGCCCATCAAAAGGAAACCAACCTATCACCAGCTTTTCAATAAACCGGTTTACAATCAAACGGTAACCAGAGATTTTGAAAAATCAAACTACATGAACTTCGCATCACGCAGCTAATTTTTTTTTCGTAAGCAGGGTTCGCAGGGATCTTTTAGCCCACTCATCCATGTTTTTTTGTACAAGATGACGAACTGTTTCAAGGATCTCAACTACGATTCTAAACGTTCCTGGTTAGTCTGCGCATCTTCGTTCGTTGTGCAGTTCACCATCTTTGGGATACACAGCTCCGTGGGGATTTTTTTCATCGCCTTGGATATGGAATTTCACCGAAGCGAATCCGCTACAGGTACAAGATATTTCGATCTGCTTTATTTAGAATTTTTTATCAGTGTAGGTATTAAATTTAGAAATCACTGATTCCTGGTAAGGAATCAGTGTTGGTATGTATCTGCAAGCCTAATGAAAATACAATACAGCGCATACATTTTCTCTTTAATACCTGGAGGTTATCGCTAAGAATAAACCACAAAACCAAAACGTCTGTTCTGATTGGTTGTAGCTTTTTTGGAATAATTCTAAAACGGTAGATGATTTGTTGTGTCTGTTTCAGCGATGAATTTTTCATTACAGTTACATAAGCACCAAAAGTTAATTAGCTCTGGTTATCGGACCAGATTTACTAACCAGTTTTTCCACATTTGTTTTCCACTCGTACGGACGTTTTACTTCGTGTGGGATCCGGTTTAGCCCAAAGCACGTTTTCCGGAAACTGGTAATGTTATACAGTTTCCGGTAAGGGGAAAGAGAATGACTATCATATAAATCAGTGTTGTTTACAGTCGTGCTAGGACATATTTCTGACTACAAAATTTACGTCAAAGTCTAGATTCCCCATCCCGGAGGGGTTATGACAATTTCGCAGGTGATGGGACAGAACATGAGTGATGTTCTAAACAGAAGGGGATTGGGGATGTGGAAATCCAAATTTACACTTAGAATCATTGGCTCTTTGACAACTTTCTATCCCTCCTCCTTGTTAGAAGATTTAAGACGGCTTTTTTTATTTCACTTTTCATTTAACCAGTGGAGAGCAACGGAAGGAAATCCTCCGCGTTTTAGTTTCAGAAAGCCTCCCCCCCTGCTCATAATGTCAACACATTGGATCTTCGACAACTTTCCCTCGCTATACCTTTGTAGAAGATTTAGGACGGCTTTTTTTTTTTTTTTATTTCACTTAACCAGTGGAGGGAAACAGAAGAAAATCCCCCGGGTTTTAGTTTCAGAAAGCCTCCTCCCCCTGCTCATAATGTCAACACATTGGATCTTCGACAACTTTCCGTCGCTATACCTTTGTAGAAGACTTGGGACGGCTTTTTTTTATTATTATTCACTTAACCAGTGGAGAGAAACAGAAGAAAATCCCCCGCGTTTTAGTTTCAGAAAGCCTTCCTCCCCTGCTCATACTGTCAACACATGAAATGTTTCTATGAGACCAAAAAGTAGAGTTATATTGATCAGAAATTTAAAATTCCTTACTTGTCGACCGGTTTCCGAAAGCCGGTTATCTCAGTAGCAACAGAGGAGGCAAAATCACGATCACTTAATCTCTGCAAGAACTTCCTCTAGAAGGTCATTAGAGATCCTTAGTCACCTAAGACGGACGATACTTGTGTTACCGGGAGAATGTGAAAGACCAAGAGCATTGAGTTTTAGTCCCAAGGACATCAATTTCGTGGAGAGATGAGTCGCCCGGAAAATGACTTGTTTTTTTTACAGGCGATTGTCCGGTAGTTCGCGAGTGCCATTCTATCTGAAAGAAAAAACTGGATATCGGTGTAGGAGTAATAACTGCTGATCCTAAGTTAAAATTATAGATCCAGAGTTGTTATCACGAACTTTGAATCCGTCAGGGTAACTTTGAATCACAAGTTATTACTTCGGATCCGTGGTTACAACTTGTACGCCAGTATCCACTTTTATCTTTCAATCAAAGTAGGACTCAAGTACCACCCTGCTGATCACACAAGTGACTTCTCGTGATTCTGGCCTCTTGGCCATTGCAACAGATCACGTAAATTAAAATCAGCGTGGACATGAGGCGGTTTCAAGGTCTAGTGTCAAATCATTTACGTTTATTTTTGCGGACTTCTTTCACGGTAAAGGAAAGATCACATCAGCGATCTCGTGGTTTTGTCAGTGTTGTTTGGGTGGGGAGGAATAATGTATCAACACATAGGTCGGAAATCTTCGGACCGCTTTATCTGGGGTCCGCTTTCAGTAGAAAGGTGTTGAAACGTTAGTGACAAGTCAAAATAACTTCTTTCTTTATTTCGTTACTAAGCTCAAAGTTAACCCTGTTCCATGATCCACTTACTAAAAAGACGCTTTCGATTTCGATGATCTTAGCGGTCTGCAGAACACGTGTGACAAACAAATACAGTAATGAGCCGAACGTTCTGTAAATCAGTTGTAGATCATCAGAGCAAGAATTAAGGCCGAAAGTCTGAGGTTCGAACCTTTATGAGGACTCAGATTGTTTTTCCCTTCGTTGTATGGTGAAACAAGACAAAAATTTCTTTCTTTGTAACAAAAGTCCAGTAGCGTTTGGACATCGGTATATTTGTCATGACCCGTGGTGCCCTGCGGCACTAATACCTCCGCTTGCTTAGGATATTTATAGATTTAGCTGAAAAAAAAGAAGGGTTTATTTGTCGACTAACTCTAAGCTCTGACCATAACAACAGAACTCGGTAACGGATTTTACAGGCCAATTACAGAAGTTTAATTGATCCACTAAACCTTCTTTCCTCCAAATCAACCACCTTAGACTGCGAAAGCCCTTGCTAAGTTTTCAGTAATTATAAATACCTGGTTGTTTTTCCTCTGAAATCTTCGCTTTTGACCTAAGCTATCTTTTTTACTAAGGTATTTTTGTTAATCTTCCACTCTCACGCGATGTGGAACTCATTAGGACCAACCTTTTACCGATATCAAATCATCTCCTTTCAGCTGCACTGAAATTACACAAACGTTTCTAATTTAGGGCTACGTTTTTTTTCCTTTTAGTTAGCTATAAACGATTGACTCGGGTTTCTAGAGGCAACAATGTGGTTTACCTTGGACTTTGAGCAAAAACTGACCCTGTGTTCATAACTTGTTTATTCTGGGAAAACAAGAAAAAAAAATCAGGCACACAACACGTGACAAGTTCTCTGATACGGTTACCAAGGCCTATTTAGCTTCGATGCAGACATATGCAGTCGTGCACAGACTGTAAGCTTTTCCATGTAATTGATATCATCGACTTTACCGTGACGTCACCTAAGAACTGGTTTAGCAAGTCCGACCAAGTGCTTATCGCATATTTACTGAAAGTTAGTCATTACCGGTCTTCCGGCGTTATATATGAAACCTATTAATTGAACATGTAGTCAGCATATCGAATGAAAACGCAGGGCTCCAAAAGGGCTGGTCTTCCTCTAAGATTTTTGTAGTCTATTTTTTCCTCCTCTTTCATATTCTCTAGTGTAGAGTTGAATTAAAGGCTCAATACAAACAGCAAAGAGGTGAAAGAAAAGATGAATTCTGGGTTGAAAGGAAAGATCACACGGTCAATAATAAAAGCAGGCCGCCGTAACTGTCGTATGACATTATTAGGGACTTTAAGCAGTCAGGACGGCAACGCCACAGAAGACGTCGATTAAAAAATGAGTTCCTACTTTTAGTTAGAATTTCGAAAATGGCTGCATGTGTTTACCATCTATTAAGGCGCCAGACCTCAAACTTAACACAACGCATAAAAGTAGCGTTGAGTTCCAAATGTAAATTAAAATAATTTGCCTCCGCGGTTTCGCTTCGCAGACGACGCAAATTTTGGTGATTTCACGTTGTTGTTTTGCTAAGATATGTACAAAATTTTAAAACGCACGTGCTGGGCTATTGTTTTGCCAATTCAGTAGATTTATTATTTTTCCACGTTCTCGTTGCCGTAGCCGTCGTGGTTTGCTTAAAGTCCCTAATTGTTGATACCCAGGCAAACCGTTGTCAATAGTGCATATACACACAGGCAGCCCAAGCTCACTGCTGGAAAAGCAGACGTGACTCTTACCGTGTTGCACAATGTTTTGTATTTATAAAGGTTTGTATGGGATGTTATCGGTTTGCCTTAAAAGAGAGTAAAAAATGTCTTGTTTTGAAATAAAATGGACTTACCTTATTGCCTTTTTGTTTTCTTTGTTGATTCCTAGCGTCTCAGGCCATTTTGAAGCGTTTTCGGCGTTTTCGACGTTTTCGCTAACTCGCTAGTAATCAACAAAGAAAACAACAAGGCAATAAGGTAAGTCCATCTTATTTCAAAACAAGACATTTTTTCTCTCTTTCAAGGCAAACCGATAACGGTAAGAGTCACGTCCGCTTTTCTAGTAGTGAGCTTGGGCTGCCTGTGATATACAGAGAACATTTCTACCCGTTTATTCCTTCAACCTCTAAGAGGGACCACTCACAGCTAATTTCTCCTTTCAGTATCACTACTGAATCAAGCATTAAGGCAGTGAGAATGAAAGAAATGATCGCCAATTAAACAAATTCTTGAGAGTAAACAAATTCTCCTTCAGTTGTCGATGCCGTAGAAAATGTATAAAGGAGAATGTATGGAGAATTTGCATGCTGATGTTTGGGTGTGAAGGGTGAGGCGAATCAAAATATCTACGACACAAGTATAAGCTTAAGCACAAGAAAAATTGACACGTTTCTTTCTCCTTGTGCCTATATCGCTTCCGTATCAAGCGAGAACCGGGGTGAAATGAGCACAGGGCGGTCGACCAATCATCGCTCACTTTGACTCAGATCTTGTCGAGAAACTATCTGAGAACCAGCCTCCATATTTATATTTAACAATTATTCGCCTCAGGTTCGGTGAATATCGTCGAATAATCCCCGAGACGAAGTCTCGGGGATTATTCGACGATATTCACCGAACCTGAGGCGAATAATTGTTTTACTATAATTTCAGAGCTGAACAAAAGAGAAATTTCTAACATCATAACATTTTAGTAACATTTTATTTTAACATTTTATATAAACCGCGTGGAGCGGTTTATATAGCGTCATATAAGGAACCGCTCCACCAATCAGATTACTGGAAACTCTTTGCTCAGCTCTGAAATTATACTAAATGAATATATTTTCTTCCAGCATGGGTAGGCTCTTTAGCGTTTGGCCTCATGTTTTTCCTGGGACCTCTGACTACAGTGCTCTGCGAACATTTTGGATGTCGCGTGGTTACGTGCGTTGGAGGCCTTCTCTCATTTGCTGGTCTTCTTTCGACGTCATTCGTAACCAGTTTCCCGTTATTGTACTTCACTTATGGTTTTCTATGGGGAGCTGGAACAAGTCTGTGTTACTTCGCCTCTTTGGTCAGTTTACCGTTACATTTTAGGAATTATTTATCACTGGCTTATGGAATCGCTATAGCTGGGGCTGGCTTAGGTGTTCCGCCCACAACATGGGCCATCAATCAACTTATTACACATTATAACTGGAGAATAACCATGAGAATTCTCGCCGGAATGTCACTTTTGATGAGCGTTTCAAGTGTGAGCTACGGTGGGCTTGCAACCGTGCAAGAGCACTGTGTTGGAATGGAGAAGAGCAACGCATCTGGGCATTCAAAAATTGGGACTGTCGTAAAGCTTAAATTAGGTATTTTGGAATTTCTTAGTTTAAACCCTTGGAAAAACAAGGCCTTTGCGGTTTGGGCCGTTTCCCTAAGCTTCATTGCGTTTGGAAACTTTATACCATTTGTCTTTTTGGTAAGTACACTTACGTTAACTTAGGTTTTTTTCCAGCGGGTTTAACTAACGTTTCGTCATGTTCCATGAAAGATAGTTCTGGTGAAAACCTCTCCAAGTTCGGAACATAGTCAACTTATAACAAGTTAGGGTACATGTTGTGTTAGGGGAGGGGAAGGTGTGCAGTTTCCCAGACACTAGCATTGGTAGGCCTTTCTTACGTCTACTTACTATTTAAAAAATGATAAACACCCCATCTATACTATTGAGCTATGGATGCACGCGGGAGGTTGCTAAGCACGAAAGAAGCGTAAGAGTCGCGCGTGGCGATAGCCGAGAGCGGTTATAGCTTCTTGAGTGCTTAGCAAACCTTCCCAGTGCATCCATAACTCAACAGTGTACGCTTTGGTGTTTACCATTTGTTTTATAACATAACATTGATACACTGTAGCAAAAGAGTTCCCTTTTATTTGTCACTGAAATCTTACGTGACGAGAAAAAACAAGCGCGCGGAAACTAGTCTTTGCATTTGCTCACGTCAGCAGCGTGCGTCTATAGGAAAATCGCGGACACTGAATTGACCAATCGGAGCGCGCACTTTACTTTGGTTATGTTGTAATACCGCCTAACGTACAGTGCTGAGCTGTACAATTTTGTCTCGATGACGCGAGTGAAATGTGCGGGTGAACCCATCGAGGGCGATTACCATGCTAGCTTTCGCTTGTGTGGCACGTTTACTGTATTGGAATTATAAAACCAAACATGTTTTGATTTTATTGCTCCAACAGATCAGCATTGCAAACGAGATTGGAATACCCAGCTCCAAAAGCGCATTACTCTTAGGTTACCAGGCTATAACGCAAACGGCTGCTCGCATAGCGTTTGGAAGGCTTGTTAATTATCCTCGAATGAACAGAGTGGTATCAGTTCAAATAATTGGCCTTGTGTTAGCTGTTAACGCCACACTCTTTCCTTTAGCGAAGACGTACTCTTCTTTAGTTGTATATGTGGTTGTTTTCGGGTTTTTCGATGGAAGTTTAGCTGTTATGTTTGGAATGGGCACCCTGTATATTGTTGGAGAGAGACTCGCGGGGCGTGCATTTGGAAATCTTTGTTTTGCAGCAGCTATTGGAAATGTACTTGGCCCTCCTGTAGCAGGTTAGTATCACTGAAGTGACATCACAATATTCCGACTATAACAAGGAGTTCGTGTCCACTTTCCAAATGAGTTGCATGCTATTTTTGACGTCATCATAAACAAATTAAATCTGCTTTGTGTTGTTGAACTTTAAGGAGAGCTTGCAACTCAATTTGAAACAGATTATTGTTGACTAAGTTCGAGTTATTTCTTTGGATGCCGCATTGAGATTCTTTTAGCACATTTAGAGCAACCAGGGTCCTTCTACTCCCCTTTTGCGGGATCTGCTGGTCCCTCAAAAGTTACCCACCTTTCTCAAAAACGCAAAACTACTGGGCTGCCCAATGCTCGAACTGGACCTTTTCGGAGTACAAAGAGTTAACAAAGAGTCTCGCACACTTTCGTTTGGAATATATCCTTAATCACATTTTTCCCTCATGACAGGCTTTGTCTTTGATGTCTTCGGAAAATATGACATTGCATTCTTCCTTTCCGGCGCTTTTATGACATTTGGGGTTTGTCTGTTGTTCCTCGTGCCTTGGTTAATGCCGGAAAAAATGGAAGTAAGCGAAGAAAGCGCTGTTCTTTTAAGTGACGATGCCTCCAAGCAATCAACTAACTACAAACAGAAGCCCAGAGCAATTTACAGCTTTCCAATAGAGGCTGCTTTCTTTGCGCAAACTCGCTGCGATCACGTGCTACAACATAGCGTCTCCATGGGAACGCTGAGAGACACTGATACGTCACCTTTGATGAAGTCAGCAATATTCCGCGCATGGTCCGCCGCTGCCCACTTACATTACACTGATTCTCTTAATGGTTCGTCAGGTTATGAGAGCGACTACAACAGACAGAGCTCTTCTACACAGTACAGCGAAGTCATAGATAAGTCTCTGGAAAACAAACCAGGATCTATAACCTTGATTACACCGGCTATGAGTTTTGACGATATAGAAGTTATCGTTCAACGGGAGAAATTGGAAAAAGAGAGCTGGGGTGGAAGTGCTACTGATCTGTATAGTGTTATGTTTGAATCCTTGTTGGAACGAGAGACACCTAATCCAAGAACTTCACTTGCAGATGATTCAAGCAGTGAAAGCGATTCCAAGGCTAATACAGAGACTAGAATTATACTCAATTTTTCCCAGTCAGAATTTAGGTGTAACTTAGACCTTTGTCGAGAAACGATTTTATAAAATTACCTTTTAAGCTATTTAATCAGGATTCTTTTTATCATTATGCTTAAGGTGCTTATTATTACTTAAAATGGCCGGTCATACCAGTGCATTGACGACGCGAAAAATGTTATTCCCCAGGACTGCTTTCTGATCAGATTAGTAAATTCCTGGGATCTATTCCGTCAACACTTCAACCGTATACCCCATTCACACAAAGCTTAGACATGTTTCAAAGCTTTTTTTTTAACACGGGTTAACATTTTTTTCATCATAGAAGTTGCTTAAACTGATGTTTGTCGACTTCAAATTTTATACTTAGCTCTTATTAACCGAACGGGAGGTCTGTATGGGAGAATCTTGACCGAGGTCGCCAGTACAGACCGAACGCAGTGAGGTCTGTACCAGCGACCGAGGTCAAGATTCTCCCATACAGACCTCCCGTGCTCGGTTAATAAGATGTTTATTACATGGCTGTGTCTTAAATGCCAATTTTTATATTCTTTGTACCTTTTTCTTCTAGACCGGTCTAGATGCCGGTCTAGATGGGAAAATCTAGACCGCTTTCAACATTGATTTCAGCCAATCAAATTCGTGAGTTCGGTAGTTCCCAGTCCTTGTCAGACACAGCCATATAATAAATGAAAATTCAAGTTAGTAACTGATTGAAACCTATGACTTCGCACCATGCAATACAATAACGACAGTCTTAAATTAAATCTGAGGTTCGTTTACTACTTAAAAGTTGTATCTTTTCTGCAAACAAATTTTGGGAAATTTCTTTGAAAAATTCAAAGGTAATTTTGGCGAGAAAAATGCCCTGAATACTTTTAAGCATTTCTTTGTGCGGTTTTTTCTAAGGTTCGTTCACGACATGAGAGGTGTATCGTTTTGGCAAACAAAGTATATGAATTTGAAAAGTTCAAAGGCAATTTTGGCGAAGAAAATGTTCTGAGTACTTTAAAGCATTTTTTCGTGCAGCATGCATAAAAGATTAGTTATATCTACGATTATTTGTGATGAGCCCGGTTGGAAACTGCTCTCCTCTCTCGATGTCAGTCTTATCTCGGGGCGGGAAGAACTAAGATCGGACTCGACAGACTGTTAGAAATCGAGGCTTTGTCTGAGAGAGACTCATAAATTATTACCATATTGGGAAAAAAGGCGATTCTTCATTATGGAGTAGCGTTTATCGTTGCCCATCAATTTTAAAATTAATTTAATGTGACTAGAGGGTACTTTAAAATATTTTAATGATCCTAGGCATACACAGTGTAGTACTGGCACAACTTCTGACTCAGAAGTAATTATTTGTTATCAAAATAACATGGAATATTTATTGGTTTCTAGGAAACATTTCCCATTTTTATGCATTGATTAGTCAGCACATTTTAATGTTTTGGTGACATAAAGTAGCAGTACTTTGTATTCAAAAGCCCCGAGGTTTATTACACTGTGAATTATCATGAATTTTTTGTTTCAATATTTATTAATTTTTATATGGATCAAGATCGTTCCTTTGTGAACTGTAAGTTTTATTATTCATTATTTTGTTTGTTCAAACAGCACAACTTAGGAATGGCGAGTAGAATCTAAGCAAAATAACAATTTAATCGTCTTTAGAAAAGTTCCATTTCTTAATTTATTAGTAAATTAATTGATTTCCTTTATTGGGATAATTGTTATGAGATATTAAAGAACATTTCTATAAATCGGGCCATTTGTCTCATTTTATACGATGAAGTAAAAGCGTTTTAGTCTGAAAAGTGGTTGAATTCGAAACTGAGAGGAGTAAAAGGAACTCCACGCGATGTGTTGATGTTAAATCGATTATGGAGGCCTGTAAAGATTACCTTGCACTAAAAGTGTGTATGAAATACATGTAATAGAAGAATGAATTTGAAATTGAATTGAAATAGGCATATGAACCTTCGTATGGTAGTAACTCTTTGAAGTATGCTCATCAGCTGACTTGTTTTCCAATTTCTTTTGCGGTTAACTAAGAAACATTCCTCAGAAAAAGGTCTCTAAGGCAAGACGACTTTTCCCCTATGATCTTGTTTCATTTTTTGACCATGGGAAGCAAAGGGTACGGGAAACTTAACCATCAATGCAGGAAAATTGTACTACTCTTTTAATGCTTGTTTCACACCGTCACTTTCACTTATTAGGTTCCATTACTTTGATAATTCGTCTTTTCTCTCAAGCTGATTGTATCACCAGATTTCTGACTAGGGGCACCTAACAGTTACAGCTCAGCAATGAGTACTTATCCCGACTATTTATCTCTATCCTTGGTCCGATGTGTAGCTATCTTCGTGTAATTTGTTATAAGGCAGTTCAGTCTCAGACAAGTTCGAGCTCGAATCTGTTGAAGTGCTGGAATCGTCTGTTGAGGAAGTAGTGGTCGGGTGTTTCTGAAGAACTTGGGAATCTTGAGGGAGATCGCGTAGATTCACATATTGGATGTGTTCATCGTTTTTCACCAAGAGAGGCGCGATGTCATCAGGGACTGAAGTTTTAGTCAGGTCTTCATCTGCATTAGAGTCGTAATCATTTTCGCATTTACATTCTTCTTCCTCGTCCTGAATCAGCTCAAAGTCTTGACAGATTATGCCAGATATTGAATTATCACTCTGTTTACTAGTTAGGTCGTCGAGCTTAGATTCAGTTAACAAATCAGACTCAATCTCGCTCACGGAATTCCCAGTCGCCGACAAATCTGCTCCACTTAGGACCGGGTTTGCTTCCATACCCTGAAGTTCATTTTCAACGCAATCTTTGAGTTTCATGTCTCTTTTATGTCTATTGTCTATCTTCGCTTTGGGTTGTGCACTGTCTACCTGGTCAGTAGTCCTAACATCTGCTGTAAATGTTTCCACCCGCTCATGTTCTTTCACATTAATCCCGAGTGGATTAGTATCCTCCTCATTAGTCATGATGGTGGAGTCTGTTCGTTTTCGGTAGAACTGCTTAGGTGGTGGAAGAAGTTTGAGAGGAATACCGTGGTCATCGGCTGAGGTTATTATGTCCACTGCGTCAGAAAAAATCTGAAGTGGAGGAAATAGATTCTCTTGATCATTGGTGCTGGGATCCTGAGTCTTACTCTCCGCTTTTGAGGAAATCTTGGTCGAGGCATTTTCAAACCTTGAACTGCCTTCAGAAGACGATTCACTTTCAACGTCCATCTCAAAAATTAAGCTTTCTTCGCTTGAATTGAATATCGTCCAGTTGCTCTGAATAGTCAACCGTCGGTATGTATCCGTTATATTTTCCGATGTGGCCAAAGTAGATCCTCCAAGATCAGTTTCTGTGGCTTCATTCTCGGGGTATGATGTCACAATGTTCTGTTGTTGAGGGCCTTGGTCAGGAGCAACCAAGTTGTCTTTACAATAGAGTTGATCAACTTGTCGAGGAGATTTATCTGATGTGGTTGAGATGTGTGATAAATTCTTTCTTTCCGATGAAATCGCGTCCGGTTCTTCGGCTTTGAACTGCTCCAGGATAATGGACGTTTCTGTCTGCGGACAGGAAGACAGGAATCGTTCCTGTTGTGTTAGAGATTCATCAAGGCCCTGAAATGGATTCTGTGACTGAACTGGAATACCCTCAGGTGATGGCTGAAATGGGTTGTGTTTATCTGTTTCCAAGAATAAGTTTTCTGCTCCTAAGATTGGGTTTTTAAGCTGTTCCACTGTTTTTTGATCAATAAGAACGTCAGATATTTGCACTTCACCGGTTTCTGTTACAGATTCCAATAGTTCTTGCGATTCGGCTGGGTTTGCGGGATGGCAAAATCCCTCTGGCTGTGGAATTCTCATCGATTCAGGCTGACAGTAATTGTGCTCTTTTTCTGATCGGATCTCCGTGGTACTCTCTCGATCTCGTTCGTTTAAGTTTGGACCCATCTTTTCAAATTGCTGGCCAGCCTCTTGTGCAATCACATCCTGGTAGAAATTCTCCTCTTCTAATGATGGAGGGTGACTCGTGGCAGAAGCTCGGGAAGAGCCCCACACTTGAATAGCTTGAAGCCTCGTTATATGGAGATGCTGCTGACATTGACTTTGCCTGGAGACGTCTGTCTCTTGTAAATGCGATTGCGGTATTTTGGGTTCACAGATAGGTGATGGTTCTGGTTGGCCAACGATTATATCCACAGGAGAGTTTGTATGACCTACTTGACCTTCATTTGTCATAACGCCAACCACATCAATAGGTTCACTTACATTGTGTAAGTCACCTAATGATTTAGCACTATTCGAAATGGAAGAGTTGGTCCCACTTGAAAGTTTGGAGGGAAAAGCTTCCGTGGATTCACACATATTCCAAAGACTCCATTCGTTAAGGACAAGTTCTTGTCCTACTTCAGAGGAGGAGGAACATCTGCTGCGATTTCTGCTAAAAGATTCCCGAGAAGGTGTAGGGCTGATCATTTCATTGACGTCTTTCCAACTCTCTAAACCGTGGTCTCTGCCTTGACTCGTCTCACGGATTTTTGAGTATGACGGAGTCGTTGCTGATACATCGTTTGGTGCACAGACTTCTGACAAGCTCTGGGCTGGCGTACGTGGAGTGTGGATCGGTGTTGGTGCTGTTGTGAGAAAGGCACTTGGAGGGGTTTGGTGCGGAGTTGGTGCAGGGGTGTTTCGAGAGCTTGACCACGCACGAACCGGTGTTAGTGGTACGCTGTGACTTGCGGAATAGAGAGGTGTTAAAGGCAAACTCTGAAGGGCTGGAGAGAAAACAGCCCTTTGGTCGGCTTCATCATCATCCCCATTTTCCCCTTGCTGGATCTGGCGAGCAGCAACTGCTTCAAGGCGCTCACTTAACTCGTTAAGCTGATCAATAATGGCAAGATGTAATTTTTCTTTTCTTTGAGCAAGGAGTAGGTCTTTAGGAGAGACATCTTTGGTTGCTTCTTCTAAATAGAGCTCAGGGTCATCGGTATCTGATTTTATGACAGAAATTGAGGCATTTCTTAGATCTTCGTTTGCATCAGTTTTTAATGCAACTAGCTGTCCAGTCCGTGGAATTGAAGGGGGTGGCGGGATACGAACAAGTTGGAACACCTCTTCACCACTTTCCAACTCAGTTGGGCTGTTGTCTACTAAGAGAGTCCTTGTACACTCTTCAGCAGACCCTAATGCTTCTCCATAACCTTCTGTTCCTTCAACATTCGGCACAAACACAATCTCAATATTATCATCAATCACGCCCGAAATGTTATCCGTGTCACTATCATCGTCTGTTAGAGCATCCACGAGGCCAATTCTCCTTTTAATATGGCTCTCTGGTGGAGGGGGAAGCTTAACCAACTCTACATCAGACTCTGCGCTCATATCATCCAAAGTCAATGCTTCTGGTAGGATTGCCTCGGTATTTTCGAGCTCCATTTGTTGGGGTTCAATACTCAGAAATACATCGGTGACGTCACTAATCGCTTCCTCAATGCCTCCTGCTTCCGAAACAGTCGGTATATTACTGGTTAGGCCAACTGTAGCATCATGCTTATCGGAGGCCCCCAACAGGTTTTCCAGGTCATCCCCTTTTCGCATTATTATGTCTTCATCTGGTCTTTGGATTCCTCCTTCCTCAGGATGTGGCTTTTCCATACTTGCACTTACTAGATAAGCGATGGACTCGCTTGTCTCTGCTGAATCGTTTGTTTCGCCGACGGGAGCTTGTAAACCCGAAGATGAAGTAAGATTCCTTGGCATTTCTAACGATGACAGCATTGACCCAGAAACCATATCGCTTGGTTGTGATTGGGAGGACAGGGTTGCCTTTGAGATACCACTTATGTCTGACCTGTTCCGTTGGTGGGCCGTTCCTCCACCTGTGCTCGACAAATTATCGACAGCTCTTCGATACACATTTTCCATCTCTGTCTTACTTGCCATCTGTCCTTGAAAAGGCTCTAAAAAATTCGCTCTTGAATCCTCTCTGCGGAAACCATCGAATCTTTGGTATGAATTCATTTCCACAGGTTCAAGGTTAGAGAGTGACACACCAGGCTCGGTAACAAACATCCCACTCAGGGTGTCCACCACGCTCACAGAATGAATGCTAAGCGATGGATCGTACACCTCTCTTCTCCCGTCTTCCTCCTTGTGTGTCAAATCTGGACGAATTCTTTGAACAAGGTAGATCAGACTCACACCAACGAGAACAGAACAAGATGAAACAAAGAATGCCGTAGTAAAGGAATTCGTGGACTTGTACAGTTCTCCTGTAATTTAAAATGCGAGTGAATATATGAGAAAAATACAAGCCCATGATGACAAATCAAGGGGCAAGGTATGTTTGAAGAACGTGTTCCTCGCCGTGGTTCTTAACAATAGAAATTTACTCAAAGACTATGATGCTTCTTAATTATAGTGATCTTCTCGTGCAAGTATAGAAGAACCACAACATGGGGTACTTCAAAAGTGTTCCCATAGCTTTGAGCAATTTTTGATAATGTGAATTGAAAAAATTCCAAAAGAAGTGAGGCCTAGGATCGGGTATCATTTGAACTGGTAAAAAACTGTTTGTACACGGTTGTTTGAAAGAGATTTCGCCTTAAAGACCCTTGTCATCCGTTATGTAATAAGACGGGATTTGTTTAAAAAAAACTGTGATACGACGATCCTCAAGCTTCAGTTTTTGTAGTCTCACCTAAAACAGGAGGTCCCAAGGTTAAAGGAAATGCCACCAAGCCGTACTGGATGCCAATTGCTTTGGCCATTAGTTCTTTTCCAACAATGTCTTGAGTGATAAGTGGAACCGTCACTACAAAACAACCGTCAAAGAATCCAGCAACCAGTGCGTACGCGAGCAAGCCATGATAACTCCTTGCAGCGGTGACACACATGGAAGACACACTCAAAACAGTGGCGGAAATGACAAAAATATACAACCGTCTGACTCGCGGAAGATCTGCCAAACGGCCGCATAGAAGTTTACCAAATATGGCTGATAATGAGAGATAGCCAAGCAAAAGAGCCCCTTGGGAGACAGGGATACCATGTGACAAGGCCATCCGGACCTATATTAAAAACAAAAGAACATCGTGATGTAACAATACATTTGGAGGATCGTTTGGGTAACCTGTGCAGATAGGATAAAAGTGGCCGCCGTAATTGTACTGTCCATTGTATTCCAAAAGCATGCAAGAGATTAGACATGAGATACCAATGCCGGAATATTTTGTTAGTGACTCAATTGTGGTGATAATAGCGTTAAATGTTTCTACATGATGGTGAACAAATACTAAGGAATGTTGACCACTCAGTTTCATTTTCTAAATGCGATGTTCTGTTACAATGATGAACTGTACTCACCAAGTACGTGTAAGGAAAAAAATAGGCGAACAAGATAAAGGACAGGGACACCAACCACATGGGAAAAGCTCGGTCTCTCCATGGTCGAGGATCAATGAGACCTTTCAACCGACATACCAGACTTCGTCTTTCGAATGGTAAATACTCGACTGGTGGTGGAATGTAAGTGCATCCGCACAAGAACGTCAAGGCCGAAAACACGCTTAATACGCGCATTCCCCCGCGCCAGCCGTACTTTTCGTCAAGTTCCTGAAGCATCACGTTGAAGATGAGTGTTCCCAAGCCGGCGCCGGTCATGGTAATTCCATTAGCAAGAGAAACGTTCCTATTGAAGTAAAACCGCAGGACGAGTAGCCCAGAAAAGAACAAGAAGCTGCCCCCAGTTCCCCACAAAACGCCAAATGTGAAGTACATGGTGGAGATACTTGGTGCAAATGACGTCACCAGTAAAGAGAAGGTAGTCAGGACACTTCCGGCGCATGCCATGACCCGGCATCCAAAATGTTCACAGAGGGCTGTAGTGATGGGTCCAATGACGAAAAGGAATCCGTAACCCAAGGACCCCACCCATGCTGTTGACGAATTGGACCAAACGAATTTTATTATTAGAGAGATTTAACACCGCGTTTACGTTCAACGTGAACGGCAAGAGTGACCGCATGACCTTGTTTTTTTCTGCCATTTTTTCGCGTTTGCCGATTGCGCTTTGCCGTTCTTACATGAAAGTAACCTGTTTCGCGTTTGTTGTGTGCGTAAAGTTTTCTTCACCTATTCTCTCACAGAGCAAAAGTTAGTTTCCGGTAAAAGGGCTCCAGAATTATTCCTTGTAAGGCATACAAGGGCGCCTTCGAATCCACCATGACGTAAGCTCACGCAAAGCTAAAGCAACAAGGTTAACGCTATTCTAGGTGAAACGTGAAAGGGTAAGCTAACGTTTGCCGCTTCACGTAAACGCAGTGCTAAATCTCTCTTTTATGTTGTTCGAAAGACGGTACACATAAGGCATCTTTTGGAACGAAAGTAGATGGTTTGGACTTAAAATAATTTTGTTGCCACGTAGGACATGCTTTTAATGGTAGTACCAATTAACAAAGGTTGGCCGGCACGGGTTACACTTGTTGGGGATGGAGAAAAGGAAAGATGCTTCCCTACAAGGTGCATAAACCGTGTAGACCTTTACATTTGCGAAGTTCGTGCACTCGCTATAGGAAATTAAAATTAATTGTCAGAGTACATTGTTAAAATACCGGTTTTCGTTCCTGGACATTGTTTTGCTTCAGAAATACACACATGTACACATTCACCACATTAAGTTACTAATTCTTTTAGCAAAACAGAATGAAACGGTTACGCGTGCAAAAACTGTTACAATTTAATATCTGTTCGGCTTCTTTTCGCGAAAACATAGATTGTTGTGAATTACGCGGCAAATGCGAGGTAAATTTTGAAAGTTTGATTATGCGCGCAAGGAAAGCAAGTACCTAAATCAGAATTGCTCTGCGCAACACAGCTCACCTGTCGCTGATTCACCAGATTTAAAATCATTTAGAAGTGCAATGAAAAGTGTTCCAAAGGACTGTATAGTCCCAAATATGACGCCTTGGACGAAAAACGAAGCGACACACACGACCCAAGCCCAGCCTGCATCTACCTGGTACCAGCAAAATCTCCTAGCTACAGCAAACATATTGCGGTACTTCACAGCCTGTTTTGCCGCATGACGTGTCACGATCAGCCGATAAATAGCGGAAATCACTCCGACAGAAAAGTCTTCTTAACCCATGATTACTTATTTGCCAAGTAAAGCTTCGAAGACCTTCGTCTATGATTTATGTCGTAGGTTCTAATTTTTAATTAATTCGCAGTTGAAACGCGCGTGCGCATGTGATGTATACGAGTAACAGTCGATGGCGTGGTCTGATGGTCGGGATGAGAGGGTGTCATGAGTAACGCTGTTGTGGATTACAATGAATACCGGTAGCTTATTGACATTATAAAGAATTCAGTGAAATCTTGTTTCATTTAACTCTGAGTTTGACTTCTGCTGAAGGCGTCAAACATAAGTCAGTATTGCTAACAACAATCCTTTACAGAAGTATACTCCCATGTACCGACGATTACACCTCAAGACCAACTATATGGAGTGGCATTATGAACTAATTTCGTCGACTGGAGATGCGCACTACCAACATAAACGGTAAACAAAGAGGATGTTGGGGACAAAAAGAAACAATAATCAACAAAGACAACAAGACTAACTTGGAATGCCCTCAACAAGAAACATGTATTGGATTTATATACAATCCCTCATCTCAAAAAGGGCGTTTTTCTCGAGATGGCAGCAGTGTCAACATACAGGTAGGCTCAGTTTTGTTTCCAATTCATATCTTGCTTTGCCTTCAGTCCTGTCAGTATTCAGAGACACCAGAGTATGGTGTAAGTGAAGTATGGTGTAAGTGGGTGAAAAACTTGGTGTGTTGACGTTTTTTCACCAACTGACTTAAAAGCTGTTTTAACTCAAGCTTTTTGTTGATGTTTTTGATTTGATCTCTGACTATTAGCAATTCGCACATGCTCTATCACTTGCGTATCACCTGGACTGTGTTTTCCTGCGAATTTGCTTAAATGGCTTTCAACAGTACTCAGGTTCCTCCTAAACAAACTGTCATTACTCATATCGATGCATTGAAGTGGTGCCAAAATCCTACGCACACGACCACCCTCGGGTGGCCATGCCAACCACTGAAACATCACGGGAACGACCGGTTTGTTCATTGATTCAGCGAGGCTGAGATCCTTTATGCAGTTTTCGGAGCAAACATACTTGGGTGTCACGCAACACACGACAGCTGCAGCGGCCTTGATGTTTCGCTGAATCTGACTCTGTGAGTTCTCGTGGGTTGGTGATTTTCCTGAGGCGTGACGCTTATTTGCGCTACTCACGTCAGTCCAGCACTGGAATCCGTGACTTTCCAAATACTGAACAAGTACTTGTACTTTATTTTGTACATCCCAGTGGTAACTGAGGAAAAGGCTTGGACGTGGAGATGTGTCTTCCATTTTGACGTAGCTCGTCTCTACAAAGGAAAACAGTTGACGGTCATTGTTTAGGGTGTACTTCCTAGGGTGTGCTGTACCTCTAATTCTCGCCCGCCTCGACTAGCTCCTGCTATTTGCGGGCGTGAACGGTCTTCATGAACACGAAAGTGTAAATTAGATCAACAATAATTAGATTAATTTGTAATTTTCTTATTAAGCTTTCTTTCTTATTAAGCTTCGATAAACTGTAACTGTTAGGGTAGCCACCCCACAATATTTTGAGAGTCCTACAATTTAGATTCATCTGTTGCTGTTTCCGTGGCAAGATTGGGCAACTGGAGCTGGTACTTGTAGGTTTACTTTTCAGTAAACAACGAATGACAAACACAGAAACTTCACCTGAATGCATTTACCTTTTTAACCAAATCTTGAATAAAAACGACTTGACAACACTTGCCATAACAAAACCTTTATGCGCATTTTGATTTCTCGCATCCTGATAACTATAAAGCTGTGAAACGTTTTCCTTTGCAATAATTTGTGCTACCAACTTCGAGTCACTTTTCCTTCAATATGTAACGAGGGATTTTCAAGACTCTCAGATGAAAGAGAACGTGAAGGAAGTTAGTATCACCTACCAGGGACTGCTGCAATCACTCTCAGGGGCTTTAGACCCTCAAACATTCTATCCAAGAATTCTTGCTCCAAGATCACGGCGGGCATGTTTCGAAAAGGTTTCAAGCGGTACAACAGTATGGCAACACTGTCTTCGTAAAGATTATCTTGAAAATTTACCGCAGGGCAGCTTCCCAGGATGGCTTGCAGGTTGGGCCGAAGTTTTTCCCACGAGTTGGCTGTCATGGCAACTAAAAGACGTTTTCCTAACCAATCAGCAAAAAGGACCTCGTTGTAGACAAACAGTGACGTAGCAGCTGCTGTGGAAAGGAGGATGATCACATGATTAGAGGAAGCCAAATGTTGAGAGTTGAGTTGTAGGAATTCGTCCTTGGATTGTCCGAGTCGCTCGTGTTTAAACACCTGAAAATCACAGGGATAAACAAATTAATTTTATCATACAATTACAGTGGCTTTGGTTCAACGTATTTAATCTGCTTTCTAGGCAATACTGATCTTCAAGCTATTGATGCATGGGTACTTTTGAACCCTACGATCACTAACAATACAAAAATTTTGTATTGTTAGACCGCAAAAAACCAGGCACGGATCAGTAGATCAGGCACCCATTTCTCAAATAAATAGGAACTGCACCGTAGACGCAAAAAAGTTAAATAAACGCAGCGACGATTTTAAATAAATTTATCTGAAAAAATTAAGTTCATCCTTATTTCCAAGCCCCTCCCGCCTCCAATATTTCTCCAACACAGCGCAAGTGTGACTGTCACGCGTAGGCGAAAAGTACGAGGCTGCTTCCTGTTGATAAACAGCTTATGCGAATCGCTAAATGCCTGAATGCAGCTATCAAATTAAACAGATTTGACTTTTGTCATTAATTAAGCAAGCCAGTCGAAACTTGATAAACAAAACTTATATAAAATCGAAAAGTAAAACAGCTTATCTCTCACTGCCTTATCCGTGTGAGTTAGCAAGTGAATGCCAATTTTGGTTCCTTTGTTCCGCGTTCGTACAAAGGGGTAAGCAAAGTCAAAATAAGTAGCTTTGGTCTGAACAGAACAAAATAATAAATTAGTCTCTCGCTAATGGGATAGAAAAACGATATTTGTACCGTCAGTTGAGCAATCACAAATCCTTTGACATGTTAATTAACCTTACATACAACACAATAGCGTGACTCTTTATTAATCTGCTAATTGCAAATTTCTAATTTTTACCTTGAGGTTTTTCTGCACTAAGTCCGCTCTAAGATTGTGATAAAACCGGACATCACTGGGATCGCAGATAACATAGACAGAATCGTCTTTGACTTTGCTCTTTTTACACTTCAAAGACCAATTTCCTTTGAGTTGTTCTTGTTCTTCTTGAATTTTCCTGGCTTCTTGCAAAAGTTTCTTTCGAGCGACTCGACTGTCAATATTTAAATGAGTTTCCATGTCAGTTTCTCTCATTGAAACCAACAAGAAGCCGTCGATTTCGTTCTCTTCGAAGCTTAGCGCACAATGTGCTTGCATTTTAAACGAAGCCAGCCAGGCCTGTACATCGTGGATGTTCCACGAAGATACTGGTTTTTGTCTGTCAAATTTCAAAACGTCTGGCTCCCTTGGAGGAGTGGGAACGCGCAGGCCGAATAAAGGGGCATACTTCTCTAGGGTTTCGCTGAATTTGCCTACCACTACTGAGGAAAGTTCAGCCACACTTGAAGCAGAGTGCTTACTTAGATCAAGCACTCGCTCCGCCAACTGTTTGTATTCTTGAGGAAGCTTGACAGACAAGTTAATCCAGAATAATTTTACAGGCTTTTCAACCTCTTCATTGCCCTCTTTCTCCTCGTCCCGATGGAGTAATATTCGCCCTTCATGACAACAAATCAGCGAGTTGAAGTAGGACTCAGATAAGAACATAACGGCTGCACGGCACTTTTCGACAATCTCTAATCTCTGCTGATAGCAAGATGGACTCTGTATGGGCTGGCTATCGTCTTTATCGAACCAAATATCATCGCAGAATCCGATATTTTTCAGTTCTTTAATGGTGTAGGAAATAAAGCGTTTTTCTGAGAAACTCGCCTCCGGCGCATATGATACAAATATCGCTCTTCTTTTTGCTCTTCGTGGACTGACTAATTTAGTAGGCGATGTTGCTTCGTAGGATCCTTCGGTCGCACTTGCGTTTTCAGAGATGTTTTCTCTGCTACTTTCTTTGTAGTTAAGCAGCCCTTTAGGGACTTCGAGTTGCTCGAACGTTGCATTGAGGTCTGTTTGTCCATCATTCACCCTACTGCCCTCACTTTTGCCGTGTAAGTTGTTATTACTGTCGTCGGCTTTCTTATCTTCGACGTCGTTTTCTGCCGAATTTCCAGGGCCGTTCGTGTTCAGGTCCTGTGAAATTGGCACATTACAATTGTCAATATTACCGCTAGTTTCAACCTCATCAGTTTCGAGTGCTTGTTCACTATCGTCTGTTGGCTCTCCAGGCGATTTCTCTTCGTCCATTTTCGTTTATAAAGTGCGGTTAGCCAGAGTTATAAACACATTCTACAAAGACAAATGTTTCCTTGCTTTTGATTATATCTTCTCTCGCCTTCGATCGAGCAAACAAATCTTTCTCATAGTGATAATACCTTCAACCAATGCGAGCGAAGCAGAAATTGCTAATTAACCATGTTTCCTAGACAACCACTGAAGTCCAAGCTGCGACGAGCGATGGATAGAGACCTCTTACCCGCAAAAAATGATAAATAAAAAATATGTAGACTATTTTTCTCAAAGCTGACTCTGAATTAAATGCGAACATTCAAGAATGCTTTCGTTGTTCAACTAAATATCAGACAGCGCAACTATAATTCTATTGACCCCAATTCACCTGCCACCGGCCACCCGGTTTGATTAATCGATTTCTGGCCTGTATGCATTCCAGGGGGCTAAGAGGAGGGGTGGGGGGGGGTGAGGGGTACTTGCTTCCCAAAACGGGTTGAATTCTCTGATTTTTTCGGTACGATCAAAAGGAGTGTACCTCACAGGCTAGGCTAAAGTGAGGCGGGAGAAGGGTTTTATTTGAATTGAGGTCCCAAGTGCAAACACTGCCGAAAACCATGATAATAGGGACTTTAAGAAACCACGACGGCGACGCCAAGGAAGACTTCGATTAAGAAATGAATTTCTACTCTTAGTTAGAATTTCAAAAATGGCTGCAGGAGCTTACTGTCTGATACAGCGCCGCAGCTCAACTTCAGCAAGACGTATAAATCATCCGTTGAGTTCCAAATGGAAATTAAATTAATTTGCCGTCGCGGTTTCGGTTCGCAGACGACGCAAATTTTGGCGATTTCACGTTGTTGTTTTGCATAGGACGGCTAAGAAATGTACAAAGTTTCAAAACGCACGTGCTGAGCTATTGTTCTGCCAATTAGATCTCTTGTTTTTCCATGTCCTCGTTGCCGTCGCCGTCGTGGTTTCTCAAGGTCCCTACTTACTAGAGGTTACGTGCTGTTTTTTTTTCTGTCTATTTCTTTCGATGTACCCTACCCCTCCCTGCTCCTTCCCTAGTAAATGTTACACGTCTTGGACAACACGAAGCCAGGCTGACCTGAAGCGTGAAGATATATCGAAAGGACTTGACAATGCTTATAACATGAAGTGTACACATGACCGCTGTCCACGCTCGTGGATGCTTCTAATCGGCACTATTCGGCCATTTCGTCGGCCATGCTACGGCGCGAATGCAGTTCGGCAATGTAGAATTTTTCGATCCCTATTTGTTTCCCTTCGTAGCTTCATTGAGAAATTATAGCACTATGAATTGGGAGGAAGAAGTTTTCAAGATTGGCAGGCAGCTGGAGAAGATAGTCGGACAAGAAGGAGCAGTAAGCAAAATATTTGTGATCATTTTCGCGGCTACTAGCCGGTGTATATTTTTGGAAATAAGCCTTGATAAACACCACAAAAAAATCCATTCATCAACGTTGTTCGTAAAGCAAAGGTTTGCAAAAATATATACCAGGTAGCTGAGCTATATAAAACGAATGGATTTATGGTTGATTTGTTGGTTTGGTGATCATACCGGAAGCACATGCTGAATTTTCACGTTCGAAGTTTTACGAACACATGTCGAGGATCGAATTTCCGGCTTGAAGACCTTATTAGTGTGCAAGCCCAAAAATAAGTATATTTAGCCCTTTGTTTGAAATTCCGTCATTTGACAATCATTTAGTTGTTGTAGAGGTAGGTTTGAAGGATTGGTACTTAATTTGGAAAATATGCCAGCGCGAAAATAAATATTGATTAGCGAGAGAGTTCATTTCGAGCACTTTTGGAAAGTGAAAGAAAAACTACTGAAATTTCAATCCCAGAAATAGAATCTGGGATGAAGTTTTGATGGGCTTTAACCAGCGGTAGTTTATAATGTGGGAAATTTAGTGTTTGAAATAACAACAGGTGTCTTCATACCCAAAATCACCTTGGATGTAACTCTTCCTTTTAAAATCAGTATGATAATAATACTTCAGTGCAACACCTTTCTAAACATGCTTCCAACAATAAGTTTAATTAGTGCTTCTGGTATGCTTTGAACTGATTTTTAAAGAAAGAAAGTTTATGCCTGAATTTAAAAGAAAAAAAAGCAGTCATTCTTTTTATAGGAAAATGACGAATTACTGCTTTGGTTGTGAAATTTTGATTTCATATAAATTGGGTTCACTCATCATTTTGTTCTGTTGGATTTTGTTGCATTTCAGTGCTGCTCTGAAAGACTCAAGTTTGACTAATGCCCTAGTTGCCCCATCAACTGAGTTCCAAACAACTGGAGCTCTAAAATAGGAACTATTTCTTCGACAGTCTGATTTTATGTGGTTAATGGCCAGAAGTGTACGGTCCATCCTTTTAGATGTAGTAAAATTGATAAATGGAAGTGATCTATCATTTAAACCTAGCTTAATATTACATACCTCAGTTGCCAGTCTATGTTTATATATGTATCCAATAGTCTCCCAATAGATGATATCTAAGACATTGGGAGTTACCTCATGAATAATTTGTCCTGTCTTGATGTTCAAATTTTCGAGTTCATTGAATATAGCAGTTTCTTTGATAACAGCACTACAGCATGTGAAAGTGTAGTGCAATCATCTGGGTGAGTGTAATCTGGAAGTGATTATCAGAGTCAAGTGACTGTGACTTCCACACAGGTTGTTGAGTGACCACCGACAATGGTCTTTCTCAGGACTACACTCACCTGGACGATCACACTACACTTTCACATGTTACCCTTTAGTTCAAACCAATTACTGTAATACTCAAGCAACCACACATGTACTTTCCTTAACATTTAAATTTATTAGAAATGCATTCAACTGTAATTGTTTCCAAGAATATTAATTTTTACATAACGAGTTTAAGAAGTAAATTAGTCAAGGATTCTATTCCAAGAGGGACTTACTTGTATTTTATTTTGTTTCTTTACTTGATTATTTCAGATGGATTCTGAAAGTGCAGTGGATCTCTTGAAAAGGTTGAAAGACCTGCCCATCACTCTTGAAGTGCTTCAAAAAACTAGAATAGGCATGTCTGTCAACACTCTGAGAAAAAAGAGTGAAAATGCAGACCTACAGACACAGGCAAAGTCACTCATTAAATCCTGGAAAAAACTTTTACCCGGTAAGGAAATAATCTCTTTTAAAAAAGAGCAAAGCAGTTTTAACCCTCTCACTCCGAGGATCTTAATAGCAATTCTCTTTACTGTCTGCCATGTCATTCTCATGATGTCTACTCTGAGAATTTGGTATCTGATAAACTTATAATTTCCATTTTATAATTTTGTGGCTACTGCTTCCCATTGGAGGCAAAATGACAGATGTTGTCAAGATGAGTGATTGAGTGAGTGAGAGTAAAAATAGAATTCTGATCTTAATCCTATTTGAGGGATTGATGGAACAGTGGAATGGCAGTATAGTAGAATATCCTAGAATGTGGAATGTCTTGTTGTGTGAAACATAATTCTCACAAAAATGGAATTGCAATGAAATAAGAAATTCATATATATTTATCAGGCAAAGTTAAGGAGCATAGTTAAATCAATATTGAAGCTAAGAGATAGACCAATAGAGGAAGAGTGAGGTTTTAGAACTAGCCCCTATGAATTATCACTACTATTGCTATTGTTATAATTATTACTATCATTATTATTATTATTACTTTTATTACTATCTTTAATATGATTGTTTTTTTAACTTGTATCATTGGTTGAGTGTTAATTAGCCTCTATATTCTTGAATCATCTTTCTCTTGTGGAAATGTGTGGGGTGCATAAGGTTTCCTGTTTTGCATGTGAGACAAATCTTCTGCAACAGTACCTTCCAGCACCATTATACAACCTCTAGCTCTTTCAATGCTATAAAAATTGTGCTATATCAGCAGCCAAATGCAGTCTTGAAACTGCCTATTTTTGTTTATTTTCATCACTTGTTTTCTTGATATTGTATTGATATTTTAAGGAGAAATTCTCTCTTGGTCACTCGTGGGAGTTAGAATGCTAAGAGTAGGTTTGCTTGTGTGCTTATGCCATACATGTTTTTAAAATGCTATGTATTTTCTAAGTGTTATTTGGATATGGGAATGTGATGTTGACAACATCCAAAAAAAATAAATGGTAATGATGTTTAGGAAACAAGAGTTATTGGAAGACCAATCTGAAAAAAAAAAAAAAAGAAAACATCTGAAATAGTCGGAAACAGGTTAACTCTTTATTCCATTAAACAGAGAAATCAGGAGGAAAGAATGAAGAGTCCAGTATGGATAGAAAAACTCCAAACAGGGATAAATCAAGTCGAAGCAATTCACCTGCAGAAAAAGCAAAGTCGTCCACCACACCAACCACTCCCCAAGAAAACAAAGTTGCCTCATTCCCACCCCCAAAGGTCACAAGTGACTCTGTGCGGGGAAGATGCAGAGAAATGATTGCAAACTCCCTCAAAGTGGAAGAGGGTATTGAACCAAGTAAGTAAAATACTGTTTGTATAATTTTTTTTCTTTTAAGAGACATTGCCTCGTCACCATGTGGCATGGACTTGAAATGGTTCTTCAGCTCCACCATTCTGAGATGAAATCAAAGTTGTATCTGATGGATTGTTCATCATTCCTGTATTCAACCCCTGGATAAGGATATTTCAACAGTCTCAAGATGCCTCTATTGAATCATGATTTTAAGTGGATAATAGTGAATTGTCAAAGAAACTTCATGGAATGTTGGACAATGAGAGGAGGCAGAAAGCAAAATTGCAATAGAATGTATTACTGAATGGCCCCTGTGGGAGCAACCCCATGGAATACCTCAGTGAAAGTAGACATGTCTAGGGCTGGATGGGTTGATGTGAACCAGTCAGCAAAAAGCTGTCTGGCCCCTCCCCTCTCATAGCCCTCACATAGCTCTTTTGCATTTTCCAAGAAATAGGACTTCGATTTAAAATTTTGAACACCTAATACACTGAATCAAAATATGGCGTCCAAATTGAATTGCCATTGTTCTGGACTGACTAGCCTCTCACACATGTGTTAATCCTTTTGTGTTTCCACCTCAAGACGAGGCTAGTAAGTCCAAAACAATGGTAATTCAAATTGGACGCCATATTTCGATTCGGTGAATATAATGGCTTATATGATAAAATGCTTATTGACCGAGTTTGGTTGGGCCAGACAGGATAATATTTGGTCCCTGAATGTCATGACCTTGAGCGTAATGTTTTCCTGTCTAGCCCAACTAAACTCAGTCAATAAGCTCATAGTATCTCATCCAAAGGAACTAACTGTTGCCTGGTCTCAGAATGGTTTGATCCCACACCAGCTAAGCCAGATTTTGTTATTAATGTGTTTAGTGTTTTCTGTTGGCAAGTTCCTGCTGGTCTTACCTGTGGTAACATGTGTATTGTGATCAACATGCCATGGCTAAACGTGTTTGCCATTTACTGTTTTGAACCTGAGTTTTAAACAGACCTGTCTCCTCTCCCCTCCCTGCCTCTCCCTTACCCTCCTCTCCCCTTCCCTCCTCTCCCATCCCCTCCTCTTCCCTCCCCTTTCTCCCCCCCTCAAGATTAGGATGAAAAAAGAGGCACTTAGGGCTTGCTACAAGGATTACTGATCACTTTGATAGTCATTTCTATCATCGTTTATTACTTGTTTACAGCAATGCAACATCTCACCCCTAAATTGTCTAACAACACTAGAAACGTGTCCTGATTAATATTAGAATGTGTGTTTCCTTCACAGCCACCACTCCTGAAGACTTTGCTGCAGCTTGCGAGGAATGTATCCTTCATTCGATATTCATATTTTTCTTCATTTCCTTAGAAAAGGTGAAGAAAATTAAATTATTTGAGAAAATCTTGGAATTTCGATGAAGTGTTAGCAATTATTTTGAAAGTCCCTGCAGTCCTCAAGTAGAATGGCATTTGTGTAGTGTTCACTCAGCTTAGTCTACTTACATGTAAGTGCAACTTCCCTGCTAAGAAATATTTATTTTGACTCAGGCAGGCCGTGTAGGTATTGAAGGGCTCGACACTAACGGTAGCCAACTAGCCACAGAAGTCTGAAGTCTGGCTACGGCCCTGGCAGTAGTCTTTGTGGATCACAACTAATAGGCTCAAGTCACGAAGAAAAACTCGCAAAAACGCTACTGCTCCATCACCATTTTGGAAGGCCAAGTGGAAGCTACTTTGGTTTCCTGTCGTTTTTTATTCATCGCTTCTTTTTTTTTTTCCCTGTAAAGTTTTATTTTAGGATCTGTTTTTGCTCTTTCTTTGGAAGGATCTGTTCCATGAACTATGTTCCTTAACCTTCTTTGAAGGTATATTTCAAGAGTTTAGAGACACAAATATGAAATATAAACAGCGTGTCAGAAGTCGTGTCAGCAACCTACGGGATGCAAAAAATCCCCTGCTTAAAGCGAAAGTACTCACTGGTGAGATTTCACCAGAAAGATTTGCAACGATGCCTACAGAGGTAAATATTGTCAAGTTCATTGTATACACAATCATTTTATAGATGAAAGGTTTAAACCAGTTCTGTTGAAATTTCCCCGCTAGGAAATGGCAAGTGACGAGATGAAACAGTTTCGGCAGGAATGTGCCAAAGAGGGGATTCGCGAAGCGCAAGTTGCTAAAAACCAAGGCACAGAAACAGCACTGTTTAAATGTGGAAAGTGTGGCAAGCGCAGGACTACCTACACACAATTACAAACACGAAGCGCTGATGAACCCATGACAACTTTCGTTCTTTGTTTGGAATGTGGAAACCGGTGGAAAGTGAGTACATTTGTTCATGTTTCAATGATTTATGTTTGTCAAGGTGAACTCGCTTGTGTTGAAATCTGCTCTGACAACAGATGCAGTGTTGAGGTACAATTCAAACAAAATAATGCTGAGAAACCAAGTCAAAGGACCTAGTTTTTTAGTTAAGAGTGAAAGATCGTTGCAGAGTACAGGATGTTTGTCGCATTAACTTGGTTAAACCAGATCCCTCGCTTAAATGGAAGGTGGATGAGTTAGGTATTTAGGGGCCTCCACTCTGTTCAACCAAAGCGTATACGGCTGTGGATATGATTCCACTGCTAGATGTGGCAGATCCTCCTTACCCAGTGGTGAGCCCATATTTCAGGCTTTGGCCAACCCTGACTGGATCTGTGCAGCGAAAGTAGAGAGTGAATTGGGGGAACACTTATATAAAAAACGTTTTAAAAGTGCTCAGTAGTGCGAAAAAAATAAATGCCACAGAGCTAATCAAGACCCAGTCTTCACTTAATGGCAATGTCACAATTCGTATCGACCTCAAATTTTAAAAGCAAGTTCCCTTCCGTAACTGATGAAATTCGCCAAATAAATAACCTCCCTTCGAGTGTAGGTAGGTAAGGTAAAGTCTGTTTTCGAGCCTAGTGGCCCATTAGGCCGGTGCTTAACTCCGGTTTCTGTAGCTTGAAGCGACTAGGAGTATTTCTACTCCCCCCTGGATGGGATGCCAGTCCATCGCAGGGTTACCCCCAGCATTAGATTGCCGGTACCCATTTATACGCCTGGGTGAAGAGAGGTACCTTAAAAAAAGTCCTTATAAAGTCTATCTTCGTATATCTTCAGACCTCGCGTTTCCATGTCCGGCCCTATGTAGTAATCTTTTCAGTTCTAAATTCCACAAACACGCAGCTTTTGTTTTTTGTTTTTGTTTTAACGACATTACCGAGTGTGACTAGACCCGGAAGGGTTAGTGCGAACGGAATACAAGGTCTATACGAGGCACCACCCCTCCCCCCAATTCACCCTGGATAGACACTGCACAAAGATAGACCACAACATCGGGCACTACGTGCTCTACTCTCTTCGAGGAGTGTGTGGGTTTTTTAACGTCCCACAAATTTAAATCACATTTAAGGGCTTGTGAGACGGGACCTCCATTTTTCGTCCCGATCCGAGAAGACTAGAAAGTCTAACCGTTTGCAGATATTATTACAAAGGTAGCACTTTCTACTCAGTTATTTAAAGAGCCTGAGTGTTGGTCCGGCCGGATTTGAACTCTCGACCTCCCGCACAACAGTCCGGCGCTATACCAATTGAGCTAACCGAGAGGCGGTTTATAATGGCGGTTTTATATAGCCAGCGAAAAATTATCCTTCACGAGACACTGTCTCCATGGATACTTTCCGCAGAATTTCGATCAGATAAAACCAATCTTTTTTTATAGTCATACTCAGGCTTGAAAGAGTTCGCAAGTCCGTCCAATACGACGATATATTGTCTCAGCTGCAACAATGTAAATGATATTGTGGTTTCAGAATCGCTATTTGTTCATCGGTATTGTGTCCTTGAAAAAATTAGGCCACCCCAGGAGTCTAAATACATTAGAGTGTATCTAAACAAATATTGTAAATGCGCTCGAGGAGGGGTTGGATGGAGTCTGTTTTAATTACACCAGCGTTTTGCCAGCTGGGCCATGTTAGGCCTACTATTTGCTCAGACGATGGGTTAGCGCTCGAAATGTCAGCTTTAGGGACTCTTCTTAGTAGTCAATTTACAGCATTAGTTCAGTTAATAAAACCAAGTTCTCTTGAAGTGCCCTTCACCCCCTTTATTCATGTTAATGGTTACGTAATTCCGTCTTAAAAAAGTTACGTGTAGCGTTGACTATATCCGCATATTGTGGGTAACGCAGGTCAGATTGTTAATTTTAGTCCTCGAGCGAACACTCGCAGTTAAACTTTAAGATCTAAAATGCCGCGACAATAGTGTTAATCACCATTACGTGCTAGATGTATGAAATAATATCAATTATGTGTAATGAGCACATGTAAAGTAGAGATATCGGGACACCAAAAATAATTAATTAAAACTTTTGTTAACTTCTTTTTTTACAGTTTTGTTGACAACGCAATGTTTTGCAGTATTCATCTTTTTCCCGACCGCGGTCCTCAGTAATGATTTTAGTTCATCAACGCACTGCTTGGTTCATATATATAGGTCGAATTTGCTCAAGACTATCTGCATTCAAGCTATATTTATTAACTGCTAGCTAGAAATCTAGATAGCATCCGTTAGAATTATTCTTGGGGCGCTTCTCGATCGAGTGTCGTAAAGCCAAAACCAAAGTTATCACAACAGCCAATCAGAAGAAAGGAAAATATATTTGAGAACCAATAAGAACTCAAAGGAAGAACTCTCGAACTTCCTGAAGCGCGGGAAAACGCGGGCAACCCTAGTCGTGATTGGTTTTGCTTTAGAATCTGATTGGTTCAGAGAGTGGCGCGGTTTCTAAACCAATCACATAACGAAGTGAAGGAAAACCAAACCAAAGCAATCCAGGATTACTTTCGTCACTCGATTGAAAACTGCTGTAATAGATACTGCGAGTGGAATGCCTTTAGTGATGTAATCTGTGTAAACCATGTGTATGATTAGTTATCATTAAAGTCATAAAAAAACTGAATAAAATAAACCAGAAGTTGCTCTTTGAAATCTTGTTTTACGGGCATACTTCTACTGTAAAATCAAACCGTATTTCAAATTGCCCTATCCACATTTTTTGAGATGAAATTTATGTGAATGATAGTTTGTGACGACAAGCTATTGTAAACAGCACGGTCAAAAACACATTTCACCAGATTGATACCCACTTCTTTTATTTCACAAGTTTATACAAATGTATTGCAAGTCGTGGCTCAGAAAACAGAGCTCATTTTCCACCAATACGACCTGTGTTCTATTTACAATGTATTTTGATTCACAATTTACCACATTTAATATTTGTTTGTTCATTTGTTTCAACGTAGTGCGTTTTCGTGTCTTTATTTGATCATTTATTGGAATCTCTCTATCACGACAGTATTATTATCCTTTATTACACGACTCGGGCAGTCAGAGGGCCAATAACTAAAATCAACCGATCAAAATGCTCTATTGCCGATCAATATTCTCTAAGTATTGGACCGGGCACTGTCCCGAATGGTCCCGAATGATACCGCACTTGTTTCCCTTTGAACTTCAGTCTTATAATAAATTTACTACATTTAATATTTGTTTGTTCATTTGTTTCAACGTAGTGCGTTTTCGTGTCTTTATTTGATCATTTATTGGAATCTCTCTATCACGACAGTATTATTATCCTTTATTACACGACTCGGGCAGTCAGAGGGCCAATAACTAAAATCAACCGATCAAAATGCTCTATTGCCGATCAATATTCTCTAAGTATTGGACCGGGCACTGTCCCGAATGGTCCCGAATGATACCGCACTTGTTTCCCTTTGAACTTCAGTCGTATGATAAATCTCTTATTAACCAAGCTTGCTCGGGACCGTACTGGAAGAATATCGGCCCTCGGTCTTTTTTGTACGGACCTCGCTGCGCTCGGTCCGTACTGTCAACAACTCTGGCCGATATTCTCCCAGTACGGCCCTCGCGCTTGGTTAATAAGATATATATAAATACCCAGTCTGTCGCGAGGACATGTCTCAAAGAAACAGAATTTTTCTTACAACATATCGGCTATTTACAAAATATCTTAGGTCCCCAAGGAAACATTTCTCAAATGTTAAAGTACCTCTCTAACTTAATGGAAATTCACTGTTTTACCTGATTCACTAGCAGTGACAACTTTCATAAATTCTTCATTGCATTCAAGAAAGTGACACTCCACCTCGTTTGTACATTATCTAAAAAAGGGCCGGAAATTTCTAAGACCAAATCGATCCAAAACGGTGCAAAACTTTAAAGCGCAAGTTTTACACGTAAGAATGTGTTGAGAATGTTTTTCACTAGCAAAAACCAGGCAGTTGGCCTGTGTAAACTGGTTTACAAAGTGCCCACAAGCGTTTTTCGTTATCGAAACTTAGATTATTTACTCTCTTTATGAATATCATTGGGTTTACCAGGAATTTGCTACAACTACAGTCATCAAATTGAGCGGGTGTCTGGCAGCATTGTCTTATCCGCTGGTACTTGATGGGTCATTATATTATATTATATTCACATGTATAGACCTACCAACTGTGAACTCAGTGCTCTCAAACAAGGAAGGCGATGTAGTGGTTTTCCTTTCTTTGGTCAAACTGAGGTGAAAATCAAATGTCTCCGATTCACTGCCATGTAATAATTCTTCTGACCCTCTGGATTAGAACTTTTTTCACGATACGACTTAAAAAAACTGAAGAACATTAAGGAAGGTAGAATAGACAAAACTCAGAAATGAAATCATTGATTTGAATCGATAACGGATACTTAAGCGTAAGGTTCTGAGTCACTGTTAGAAACGGAAGGGAAAAGTAACACATGTTATTTAACAGTTTGGGAATCTAGCATTCTAATTGGTTGATTCTTCCTCCCGTTGACGTGTAAGATTGCTTTCACGACTCTGATTACGTCTCCAACCTCGTAATAAGAGGAAACCTCGCTAAGAAATTATCACCGGATAGCACTGAAATCAGGTAAATTTGTGCAAACAAGGTACTGTGCATCGGAGAGATCCATGACCATCGGTAATGTGAAAGAACTTTGCATTTTGTTTTTTCCAGATTGTAATCCCATTCTTGTGTAAACATTTCATCAATCGATAAACTAGTGGCTGCGCTTTTCCTTGCCTAAGTTGAAGAGTTAGTTCATCACCGACTTTGTACAGAGGTCCACGGTGCGCACCAGCCTGGGTCAATGTTTCTTCAAGAGTTGTTTGTAATGTTTCGATTTGATAAATCTTGGAAAACAGTCGTGGTACATGAGCGTAAATATATGATCTTGTGCACATTTGAAGGTGTCTCTGTCCGGATTGCTCATGCTTTTGTCGATTTCCGCACGCACCTTAGCATCGAGACTAATCTGTCAACGGAAAGGAAAGTAGAGAGATGAGAAATGAATCAAAAGCACAAAGAAATTGTGATCATTTCCTTTATTTCTGTGACTTAAATGTTTGATTCAGGTGTAATATTGCAAGGAGATATTAAAACAGTGGATAGCGTTGAAGGCGTGCACTGATTGGCTAGTCAAACTCCGAATATCCTTTGCTGTTTACCTCCGAGCAACTTGGGAAAAAATGGCGTCCCGGTTTGCATCCGTGACAAGCGAAGAAATCACTCAAATCAATTTTTGGTGGTGCATATTATCTCACTGTTTTAGTAGATACTTCGCGGCTCGGTAAATATCCACCACTAACCACCTCCTCTTCGGTGAATAGTGGTGAACTAGTCACTCTCGGGGGTCCAAGGATCTTTTTTTTACGAAATGACATAGAACAACGGATTAAGTTTTTCCTTCAGTGATTTTGAATGTGAATTACCTCTGTGGGCGAGAGAGTGGATACATAGTCCTCATAAATAAGCCGTGCTTTTTCTGCTCGTGTGCTTTCGTCCGATTTCTTGTAATCCTCCACAGCCAACCAGAAACTGAGATTTTCCTCACCATATTGGGATCGAAGGAAATCTTGAAACAGTTGAAGACCAAACTTGTGTTTTAACACAGTTTCAAACGACGTCGCCCACTTCTTAGCCTCTTCAATTGTTGGCCTGCAAATCGAGAAAACGTAGAACAAATACATGAGAGTCAATTTCAGGCGTTTTTTCCGTACATACTTTCGAAGGTTGTCAGCGCCCCTTCGGAAATCGTCCTACATCTTCGGCGAGTTTGGAGGAACATCCTTAATTTTTTGAAAAGCGGATGATCAATAAAATTGCAGGTATTTCGGTATCTTACCGTTCACAGTCCAAATCTTTTTCTTTTTTGGACAGCAGAGCAGCTGTGGAATCTTGCCTGTTAAATAATGGACGTATATCAGAAAATCTGTCAGGTTTTTTTTTTTTCTTACCATTACGTAACAAGTATTGAATGTGAAAATATGAAACTGTTTCCTTCCGGAGGAAAAAGCTTCCCATACGTTTTGACATCAACAGAGCCAAACGGGAAATTTTTTTCGAGTTTTTTTAATATATTGGGCGATTCTTTCCTGTAATTGTTGTGGCATATTATAATTCCGTAATAAGCAAGCTTGAGATTAATATGGTCGGATAAAGGCCTCCATTTTTTAATTTTGTGGAAGCAAACTGCTTAAGCAAACGGGAAAATACCTACCATTCTATCCATAGTCATTTTTTCTTTTATTCCGTTATTAACCGAGCTTGAGGTCAAGATGGTTTGATACAGGCCTTCTTTTTTGCGTTTTGTGGACGGGAAAAGGAATTAGAAAACATCTTTCCAACGTGAGCTCTTAAATGCATTTGCATTTCGTTTGTGTTCATCTTCATAACTCACCTTGATCCGCAGCACACACACCAGTTTGCCTTTACGTTTTGCTGAGCGTTTGGGTCCTCGGGCGACACAACAGACGAACACCCTCCCATTGGCTGCCAATAAATTGGAGAAAGTGAGATAGATTAGGTGTTCCTGAATTCTCTACCTCCTTATTATGCAATCCAGAATAAAAAGCGGGAAAAAAAGAGTGATTTTCTGGCACGAGAGGATGTCACGTATAACTGATGACATATGCATTTTGGAGGATAACGCAATCACAACGTCATCATGAATTGAGTGACGAAAATAGGAAACATGCGTTATGGCTTTTCTTTCTCTCTGTTTCTTTTAATAGCAAGTGATTTTGATATCATTTGAAATCCCATCTGGAAACTCGATTTTTCTGTTCTATTAAAGATTTTGAAATCAGAACAGAAATAGTCTAAAGACGAATGAAAGAGTAAACGCTATGCACGAGTCCTCAAGAAAGTTCAGCCAAACGAAAAATTCAAAAGGATAGGTGCAACATAATTTTATTGCCATGGGATCAATCAAGTTACCTCTCAACCCGACATGAAACGATTTACAGTAAATAGAGTGTGTTCAACTCCACAAATACGAAAGACTTGGACTCCGGAAACTGATTTCAGTATATCTGTTTCTATTTTTTTTTCTTCTTGATGACGTTGAAGGGTGTTTCTCCTCGATTATTACCATGACGTACACCACACTTTGTTCATTAAATGATTCAAATCAAGGCCGCCACTGGTTTGTCTCTCGTAGCTTTGTTTTTACACTTTACCAAGAATAGTGTTCTAACAATTGTTTGGACGGAATTCTTCATGAATTAAAAAAATGTTCTGTTAACCCAATTGACCTGATTCTGTGTTTGAAATAGCAAGACAACTCTTCATCGATGAAACCTAGGATCAAATTTGTTTAAAATCGTGGGCAGACAATTTGTTTTTCCATGAAATATAGGAAAATTACGTGATTAAAAAACTGTAGAATGTTTACAAATTCAGATTTTTCATTACTAAACATTTCAATTTACGAGCACTTCTGCTCTAATCATTTTTCTCTGTGAACTGTTGCGGTGCGAAACGTAATTTGTTTCAAAGCTAAACAATGGGCCCATTTATTATTTTCATTATTTTGAAAATTGTGAGACCACAAATTTCAATTGATGCTGGAGAACTGGCGAATGAAGCTTGAAGTCGTAGATTTTGCTCATTTACACCCAAAAACACTATTAACTTATAGTGCACATAATAACGGTACACGCATTGAAAATCAGAATGTAACTCTCCAGGGAAAAAAGAACTGGTACGGGTGAGACTTTGATCCCGAGAAACTCTGACGTGAAATTGAGCTTCGAACTTTCTTTATCACATCGAATTTGACAGTGTTTGTACAATTAAAACACTAAATTTGCAATGCACGTCCTCTTATGGCGTTTCTGGTTCCCGGTTTGTTCCGACATGATCGGCTGACAACTGAAGAGCGTCGAGCTCGCTTTTCATTTTGTTCGGCGGACTTAGAAAAGCTGAAAGATAGTGTATATCAAGATCTAGCCAAATGGTTGTGTTGGGTGAAATTTCGCCTTTTCGCACACAAGTGGTCACTGTTATTTGTGACATTTTGTTTTTAATCGAAATGCTTCACACACAAAAGCAAAGATTTCAGAGCAAATGAACTTTACCCTATAAAATCTTGTTAAACTTTGCAAAGGAATACAATGCGAAAGATTCCAAAAAAAGAGACAGGAACCTTTTTTACGTCAGGTCGTTGCTATTAAAGCGAGACACCGTTTTCACCTATCGATTTGTAAGCTATGTTGTTCATGGTAGTCTTCATCAACTGATAAAACCACTAAATAAAACTTGACTGACCTCATTCTGAAATTCTTTATAAGTCGCCATCGTTTCTCGTTAGTTACAGACGTTGCTGATGTGAAATTAAACGTAACGCCGAATGCGGTATCTCTGTTATCTCCCTGAATTTATGTGCGCGCGCTCCCGATGACACTGATATTATTTCGCAAATCTGAAGCAATTTAACGAGAACAGATTACATTTTCAGTAGAGATGGTAAGAAATTCATTACTCCAGCAGGTGTTTTCAGCCTGTGTGAATAATTACAAAGACGAAAATTTTTAAAATAACTTTGTTGTAAACATCGGCTGCTGTAGTATTTCCTTACTTTAGAACTGTATATTCATATGTCTGCATGTTTTCATTTTTAAATGAATGTTGGCGCAGCATTACAATGCCAGGCTTTTGAAGGATCTTTCCAAAGGGATTAAAATCTTAAAACTTTTATTTGTACTCTCTTTTGAAAAAGAGTTTTTCAGATCTTTGAAATCTTTCAGTAGAAGATCAAGTTCATAGATGGTGCATTTAGCCTTTCTTGCCTTTAAATATACTCGATCTTTAAACTTAAGTTGTACAATAGATTATTTCATGACAGAAAGGATATGTAAATTTTATAATCCCACCATCAAGCCGTCACGATTTATTCAGAAATTGAGGGCCAGGCAATCATCGTTTCTAGTTTTCAAATGCATTAAGTGTAATCCTAAATTTACCACACTAGAAACTAAAAAATATCAAACAATGACGCAAAAACTTAACACCTGATGTAATCTTCAAATGGCCAAAATCGAATCTCGTCTTTATGCAACTTAAATTGCAGGAAAAAAATTAAAAGATCATTGGTTTTAAGTAAATGCACTATGTCTTTTTTCAACATATTCTACGCGGAAAACCATAGACAGTTAATTGTTTGAGAGAGTAAATTTTCGTGTGCATGCGATCAGAAATAAATTTTCTCTTGAATAATTTAAAAAAAGTCCGGTCAAATATATTAGTTACTATGCTGATAGTACGCGAAGCAAGCCCTTGCTTCCGAATCCCCCCTCCTCTCTCCCAGGGCTTGCTTCGTGGGCTACTATGCTGACCATTTTTTTTTTTCCTTTTTTCAACGTTGCTGGAAAAACTCATCGTCTAACTGATTATTTTTTTCCATGACCTTTTGAATGGAGAGTTTAACATAACGGACAGTCTGAACGAAATAGAGACGAAACTGACGCAGTCGGAAACGTTAAACCGTCTTTTTGCCCTCATTTAATTACGTTCGAGAATGGCGTCGGCTACAGCGCTCTTAAATGCGATTCCTGAAACATCTGTATTTTTTTAATACCACACCATTTTTTTCTTATCAAAGAGTGATGCCTTTTTTACTATTCTCTTGGTTTAAATTGGGCAACAGCCGATGAAAATTCAAGGAAAATCGATCTCCTCACCTGAGTAAATTTCGACTCTACTTAAGCGTGGAATTTGACCACGAGTCTTTTCGGATTACTATTACATTTTTTTGAACCCAATACCGAAATATTTTATGGCCGGAGCAATGTTTGAGGCTTGCTAAAAGTGCGATTTTAGATAGTACAGTACATAGTAAAATTGTAATGATTTTTTTGAAAAGCAGCGCAAAACCTTATTGAGTCTTAAAATGTTTTCCTTCTAAAAATCAAATGCGACTTTGAAAAAGACGACAACTGCGCAAAATATTCTATCTACAAAAAATGTGTCAATTTTTTTATCTATGATTCCTTTCTATCTTTCAGATATTTTATTTTATTCATAGATTCCCTCGGGGTCTGGAATTTTGATGAAACAATACTGAACTCTGCTTCAAACATAATATCTGTCGGTATCGGTTCTCCAAAACGAGCGATCCGCTGCGCAGACGGCAAGGACGGAGAGGGGAGTGGGGTAGAGAGTGACATTGAAAATTATCATAAATGAAAATATAATAATTTGACCCCCAAGAGTGACTAGCATCTAATTTCTCCTTACAATATCACCCCTGAATCATACATTAAGGTCACGGGAATATAGAAAATGATCCTCAACTAAAGAAGCTCTTGATTGTTAGACAAATTCTCCTTGTCAGCACCTTAGGAAATGCATAGAGAACAGTATGGAGAATATGCATACTGATGTTAGGGTGGAGAGGGTTAACTGTGAAAATGGAAATTAGCAATGTTTTGTGAATGGAGCAAATTTGGGAGCCATTTTCGACTAACAGAGGCAAAAGAACACTCCTAGAGAAGGAACAAACGTGCGCAATCCCTGGTTCTCTAAGGTACTTTTTGATGAGTCACTTAGAAACCAGCGTTAGTTAAGGTGAATGGTATAAGAACTTGGGATTTCTTCTTGCTGCTGAATATTCAGCCGAACAGACTTTTAAAAACCGTTTATGTCATCAGTCATTACTTGGTTTGGTAAACAATTTCTTTTTTCAGTTCCTTTCCCTTGTACGTGTATTTTGATTGGTTCTTGCTTATGATCTATTAGAGGATAGACGTACAGATGACGTCATCGTTAACAAAATTTTGCTTTTTTTATCATGATGGTGGCGTGGGTCTGTTCAGAAATAGATCACAGATGACGTCAAAATGAGACATCGCTGGCACACTCGGCTGCGCCTGCTGTGTTACTCTTTTGTTGTTACCACATTCTAACGTCATCTGAGGTATTTTAGTGGACAGACCCACAGCAACATGGAATAGAACCACGTTTAAAACATAATTTTGAATTGAGAAAAGATTAGAGACTATTGTATGACTGTTGGTATGCAATATACTCCGGCACTAAGTATGTCTATCTCTCCCAGTATGGCTTGCACTGACTAAACAATTTGATACTATTTGGACCCTAAAGTCTCTTGCTTTGCTTTCGTGCCATTTTGCCATTTTGAATGTTTCTCCTCTGGCTTTTTTTAGTTGTTGGGGTCCTTCTCAGTAAATGGCTGATTGTTGACAAAGGACTTTTATTCCCCACGTCTCTCGCGCGTTACTCTCGCGTGATCGGTGAAGACGTCAACTGACATACACGTAACTGCGATATTGTTTTAAAGCGGTTTCCGCAATAGGTCAATCGAGTCATTGAATGAGGTCCATTACAAGTATTTTTACAGCAATTGAGAATGAGACAAGATGAATTTTCGCTGAAACGCGAAAAGTCGGCCACGTTTGCCATAATTCATTAAAGAGTTATTAAGCGTTACGTAATTTTGTTGTTCTATTTATGGAGTTTGAACAAAAACT